TGTATCAATGAGATGAGCAACTGCAACGGAACTGTATGTATATAAGTGTTACATGCAACAACTTAACGCAGAGCTTCACAATCTTTGGTTATTCACGAACAAAAATGAATGATGAAGAGCTGCGAAACATGATCAGTACAACCTTAACCTGTAGAGTAGACCAGAGGTATGTCAAACGTTAACCTTCTGTTTTGCTTAGTTATTCATGAACAACTTTGCATTTATTAACAAACTCTGAGGTCTTTCAGGGAAAATTGTGGTGAAAAAATGGATCATTTTTTGCAAAGATGCTTTTACCATTCGGGCCAGTATAATTCTGAGGACGACTTTTCAGGATTGGACTGTAAGCTTAAAGAAAAAGAGGTAAAACACTTGCTGATTTTCTCTAACTGAACTCAAATGTGTATATTATTTGGTACCTTCTAGGGTTTGGCTGTGAACTTATTTTTGATAAATTGAACAAGGAAAGTGTCTGATTTCAAATACGATAATTACTACTTGATCCAATGGAGGCTGCCTACTTTGACACCTTAATTTGTCAATGGGACTGAAGAATGTAAGGAAATAGATAAGCTAAAAGATCTTGACACCGAAAATTGGGACAGAAAAATGTTAAGAGATAGGGAAGTCAACAGTTTTGCTACTCTGCTGAATATTGAGGAATAAAGAAACTAGCACAAGAATTTATACTAGGAGATAAAATTGTAAATAATCTTCAGGAAACAAACAGGTTTATACCTTCTATATGCTCTCTGCAACGAAAAATTGTATGTCTGATAACTTGATCCTTATTCGACATCCTACCTCTTAGGACTTTATGAGTGCAAATAGTGGAACCAAATTAACAAACTCTGTGCCTTGTAATTATACGATGTGATACAAAATTTGGAAGGGAGCTTATACGTGCTCTATCATGAATCATGATTGGAATAGAACTCCAAATGTGGTGTAAGTTCATGACTCACACCTGATCAAATGAAAATGGTGCAACTTGTAGCGGGTTTATTCCAGCATATGTGCTCTATATATGATTGGAATAAAACTCCAAATGTGGTGTAAGTTCATGACTCACATGATTACACATGATCAAATGAAATTGGTGCAACTTGTAGTGGATTTATGGCAGAACACATTGAGACATCTCTAGTTATCTATTTACTCCATTTCTTTCATTACTCTATTTGGCATATGCAAGACTAACTAAATAATCTTCATCATCTTCTTTCCTGTTGCTTAATTCAACCAGCCAACTAGCTAGACCTTTCATTACACCATCTAAAATGTAAGATATATCTAGGTTACATAATCTCCAAAACTACCCAAGTATACTCAAGACATCAAACCTCTCCACTTGCTTACAAATTTAAACCTGAGCAAGGTAGCTCTCATTATTGTTCCCTAATTACATGTATTCAGCTTTGTTATTCTATTCACTCATCTTACTAATACTGACAATCAGTACTGATTGAGTTTTCGTTTGGTAAAAAGTAGGTCCTGGGAAGTTGTTTCTGCCATGTATTCCTATTTCCAATTAAGTGCAAGATGTTATTTGGTTGAGCATAGGAAGTTCTACTCACCTAGAGGGACATAGGTAAGCAACTTCTTTATTTTGTGGGCAGTTTAACACTAGAACTTCTTATCTTTTTGCCAACCAAACAAATCCTTCCCATGTTTTTTTAATGTCAATCAAACAAGCACTAAATATATCAGAGTGACAGAGAATAGCTACTGCTTTGGTGTTCATTTTCTTGTCAAATTAGCTTTAACTTAGTGAAATATCTTGAAGCCAAAGCTTGAACATGGAAGGTGTATTCCAATGTATATGCGGCGAGAACAGCCACATTTTGTGGTAGCCATTAACTGAACACAGCCACATTCCATTCAGACAAAGAACTATTGTTAATTTGTTACTTACTGGTTAATTTTACTTATAATGAGTTTTCTTACATGTAGTGGTCTTGATCACTATTATGCTGTATAAAGCCAAGAAGTACCCTTTCCTGTTTGGATAATGTTAAATTATTGGGATTTCGAGAATTGAAACTTTGACTTCTATCTCTGTAGGCTGGTAGATTGCCAAATAGGCTATATTACCTTTCAATACCACCAAACATTTTTGTGGATGTGGTCCGATGTTTAAGCCATCGAGCTTCTTCTGCAAGTGGATGGACGAGGGTTATAGTTGAAAAGCCATTTGGACGTGACTCAGATTCATCTCGTGAGCTGACTAGAAGCTTGAAGCAGTACTTGACTGAGGACCAGATATTCAGGTGTGATTACAGTTGATATATTTTTAATGTGTTAAATATTTTATTGTAGTATTAGATATAGAGGTTTTTTACCATGTTAAACTTGAATGTCTGTTTAGGATTGATCACTATTTGGGGAAGGAGCTGGTTGAGAATCTATCTGTTCTACGCTTTTCAAATCTTGTTTTTGAGCCTCTGTGGTCAAGGAACTACATCCGGAATGTCCAGTTCATATTCTCTGAAGATTTTGGTACAGAGGGACGAGGGGGGTAAGTTATAAAGGCTCAAATTTGCTTAATATATCACTAAGCATGTGAATTAACTTTTTCAATTGATTTTGCTCTTAGATACTTTGATAACTATGGAATAATCCGAGATATAATGCAAAACCATCTTCTTCAAATACTAGCCTTGTTTGCCATGGAGACACCTGTTAGCTTAGACGCTGAGGACATCAGAAATGAGAAGGTATTCTTATATTTCTGTAAATAATTCTTTTGTTTCCCTTTTGGACAAGAAGTTTTATCGTTCTCTCTCATGCATCTAGGTGAAAGTACTTAGGTCAATGCGACCACTTCAGCTTCAAGATGTGGTTGTGGGTCAATACAAGGGTCACACCAAAGGGAACAAATCTTACTCTGGATATACAGATGATCCAACGGTGCCAAAGAATAGTCTCACTCCAACTTTCGCAGCTGCAGCATTGTTCATAGACAATGCTCGATGGGATGGAGTTCCTTTCTTGATGAAAGCTGGAAAAGCTCTTCATACAAGGAGGTTTGCACACATCTTTATTACTCCTATGCTTTCTTCTTTATTTTTTTATATTTTTTTTTTTTTGAGAAATGTCACATTTGGCCTGTGAAATCAATCAATCAAAGCCTTAATCTCATAAATGGGGTCGGCTACATGAACCAAAAATGATTATTGCCATGTGAAATGCAGAGCTGAAATACGAGTGCAGTTTAGACATGTCCCTGGAAACTTATACAAGAAAAATTTTGGTACTGATTTGGATAAAGCAACCAATGAGCTTGTGCTCCGGGTACAACCTGATGAAGCGATTTTCTTGAAGATCAACAACAAGGTTCCTGGCCTTGGTATGAGATTAGACCGCAGTGACCTTAATTTGCTTTACAGTACTAGGTAAGCATATATCTTTTTGCAAACTATTTACTATGCCAGCACTGAAGTATCATTATAAAATTCAGCTTTCTTAGTTGCTATATACTTTTTCAACTTACAAGTGTTTATATAATCAGAAATTTCATTGGAAGATATCTCACCGGCCTTTTGACTTAGAAACATTTATGCCGCCCAAGGCAATTACTTGTAGACCTGGCAATCGTGTCGTGTCATGTTCGTTTTCATGTCGGAAATTAAACAAGTTGGGGGAGGTCAACACTAACCCGACCCATTTAATAAACGTGTTGTGTCGTGTTGACCCAATTAATTAAACGTGTCGAAAACCCTTAACACTAACCTGCTTTTTTCATGTTTGGTTCATATCGTGTTGTCGTGTTCAATTGAAAAATATTGGTCTTGTTCAATAGATTTATCAATAATTCCATAAATTATTGGGTTTTTATGTTAGGCGGGTTGAGTCATGTTAATTTCGTGTTGAGAATCTCAACACTAACCCAACCTGTTTAATTAAACGTGTCGTGTCGGGTTGACCCGTTTAATTAAACGTGTTGAAAATCCTTGACACTAACCCGTTTTTTTCGTGTCTGGTTTGTGTCATGTTATCATGTCGTATCAGCTTTTGCCAGCTCTAATTACTTGCATTTGATAATGTTGTTCCTCCTGAAATGTGTTGAATGCTTGACAACTGTGAGTTCATGTTGATAGTGACAAGGGTATCTTGTTATTGACATGAAAGAAAAAAGTAGATAACAATTATCATGTCTTTCCTGAATCATAATAATGTTTTACGAACTGGTATGGAGGTCTGTTACCCGCTTTCCACCAACTTCCTGACAGTGCCTACTAACTTGTGAAGGTATCGAGGAGAAATACCTGATGCATACGAGAGGTTACTTCTGGATGCAATAGAAGGAGAACGTAGGCTGTTCATTAGAAGTGATGAGCTAGATGCTGCTTGGTCATTATTCACGCCATTGTTACAGGCACTAGAGGAAAAAAAGGTAGCACCAGAGCTGTATCCATATGGAAGCAGGGGACCTGTCGGATCTCATTACCTTGCTGCTAAGCACAATGTCCGCTGGGGTGATCTGAGTGGTGAGGATTCATGAACTGAAACGCAAGGCATGGTTACACGAGGAGCGTTCTTTATCTTATTCAAATATTCACATAGGAGCTAAATTCTCGGCTCCCATCTTATATATACAAGCCTTCTGCTGCCTACTGAATTATCTGGCTGACTGTTCCCATCTAGTGTGATTTATGTCTTCTTCCACGTATGATTTGTTTCGTGAGAATCAAACATATATTGTTCAATACATAGGGAATGAAATAAGCATGATACACATGCTCAACATACAGGGAGTTCCACATAGAAAATCAAGGTTGCTTACATGCTAACCATGTATGATGGATCAATTTTAGAAGTTAAAATTGTAGTCTCATCAATGGGAAAAAAACGATTATTTAGTTTAAGCTTTGTTAGAAGTGTACATGATTGCAATGTTGCATACCAACACCTGCAATAAAGGTGCTTTTTTTACTTTTTTTTTTTTTTTTTTTAATTTTTTTTTATTATTATTATTATTGTTATTATTATTATTATTATTATTATTATAAAAAAAAATATCCTCTGATCCTATTACTGCTACAGAGATAAGAAAAAGAAAAATAAAAAAACTTAACAATTTTTCAATTACTAAAAATGAGTTTTGATGACAAGTTAGTGCAAATACGATATATGCCTCCTCGAGTCCGCGGTCTATATTACCAATTTATTTATGTAATTTATAAATCAATATTACAAAGTACTCCGTATAATAATATTTCCGTGGGGGTTTTACCATACTCTCCCTAGTTTAGTCACACACCTGTCAAAACTCAAAAGAGGGAAGACGGAGACTACGACATCCCAAACAAAAACCCCTGCAAAACCCTCTTCTCTTTGTCTCCTTCCCCTCAAAACCTGCAGCTGCCAACTCTCTTCTTTACCTTGCCAAGCTCCATATCAATGGCGACGCTACTACGAAGCGTCAGACGATCTTCTCTGTTAACCCTAATCAACAACTCCAAACGATCTCCTTCTTCTTCGTCTATTTCTACGCCATTCGCTCGTTACTGTTCTTCTTCGTCAACCTTCTCTGATCCCATTCTCTCTCCTAATTCTACGCCTCCTAAATCTCGATTTCTCTCTCTTCTTAAGTTCTCTGTTGCTGCCGCTCTTGTCGGAGCTTTTTCTACCGCCGGTTACGCTACTTATGGTCAACTCTCTCTCTCTCTCTCCTCGCTCTCTGTTTGTTTCTTAATTTGTGATTCATTGTGTTTTTTCTGTTTATTGTGTGATTGAATTGCTGAAATTATTAATCGGTTTTTTTATAATGTTTGTTCTTAATTGTTCTTAAATCAGAGAAATAATTAATCCTTTTTTGTTGGAAATTTGATGTGAATAGTGATTTACTATATTTATAATTACGATTACTCTCCAAGTATGTATTGGTATCATATACCAAGTTTTTTTTTATTAATTTTTTTTTTTTTTTTTTAACATTCTAATAAAATAGAGTTCAACATTTGGAAAAAAAAAAAAAAGAAAAAAATTACTCCGGATTAATTGTTGAAGTTGGCAAGAAGCCAAGTTTGAATTCCATAGCCAATTGAGTTGGGGGTTCGACTGATGGCCTCTATGATTGATGTTAATGTAGGGCAGTAATGAAAGTGAATTTTTATGAATTTTTGTTTGGGAAGTCTTGTGCCAATAAATCACTCTCTGTTTAATTAAAGTGTAGTTTGACCAGGCACATTTGTCGAGACACAATTTTGACAAGTAATACGTTCATTGTCTATTAGTAAAAAAAATGTAAAAAAATAAATAAAAATGACCTTATGAATATATACATTTGTGAGTCTATGATGAATTCAATGACATATACAATACCTTTTAATATGTAAATAGTGTAAAAAGTCAAACTGAAAAAGACAAGAACTCAAGAAGTCTCTTTTTCGTCATAGATTTTTTTACCGTCCAGTAACACTTCGGCACTTGAGGGGTGGCACTAGGTAGTATTGGAAATTTTGGAAGAAAAACACTAGTTTGGAGATGAGTTTGCGTTACCTTAAGGTGATACTTTTCTTGCAAAATCACACTTCAATTAATCCGCATCATTGCCATTTATTAACATTTATCAAACAGGTTGTTAGTGTAATAGGGTAGACCAATGGCAGTTACTTAAGCAGAAGACAACTGTGAGATCAATTACAATCAACTACTATGTAAATATTTCCAATCTATCTGGTTGGAGGAGCTTATGTAAGGGGGTATTTTTGCTTAAGTTATAAATATATTGTTTGTTTGACCCTTAATTCATGTTCGTGATGGAAAAGATGTATTAACTTAATATCAAATGAATGGTTAGGTGTGATTAGTATGTAATTATGCAAGCAAATGCTTTTGGAAGCAAACATGTTAATGCTATCCATCATATGCTTATCTTATTCTATCGGCATCCCATTTTAACGTGGATTGGTAATTATAGTAGGTACTCTGTTTGTGCAGAGCTCTACAGGGAATGAGTGTGTTTTGTATTTTGTATGATCACAATACATGCCAATTTGCTAGCGAGTCTGCAAATCATTATGCTTCTTGTTTTCTATTTAAACACTGGAGTGTGTGTGCATTTTGTACTTGCACGTTACAATATTTGTCTCTTTGCTAGAAAATAGTAGGTTGTGCTTGTTGTTTTCATATTTGGGGTACAACTCGTACAAGTGAGTAGTTTTCTGTGTCCTTTAGATTTTGAGGTTGTATGCTCTTCAACACTCACAACCCAAGGTTACTACCAAAATTTGAATGTGGGAGTGTATGGCTTTCTCTATATTTAGATTTATGAATCTACGTGGAATACCTTAATTGATTGAGATTAGCTAAGCAAGCCACAATGATATGTAATCAACTTAAATGGGAAATTAGTAGCACGGCTTTTTAAATATTATGACAAGAAGGCTAATCATGTGGGTTTAGATACTTTAATTTCTTGCCTGTAATATGCGTAGACTAATTCCATATAAAGTAATGTTGTCATTCCTGTGTCTGGGTTGCACTTCTTATGTTTAGCATCTCAAAACTCAAAATGATCTATTAAATTATCATTTTTATATTGTATAAACTACTAGTACCAATTAGTTTTTTAGATTTGAACATCATTTAATCGAGTTAGCTTTATTTTCACTGGTGTAGCATATACTGCTGAAGAAGTAGACGAGAAGACCAAGGCCTTTCGATCTTCAATTAATCATCCCATGGTAGATTATTCTATGAGTATTGAAGTAAGTTCCCATTATTGTTTAATGAATTTTAGCGGAAATGTTTGATGCTTCTTGATTTTAGTGTATGAATGATTGTCGAATTATTGAATATTGGATGTGCTGAAGTGGGTGTAAGGCCCTCTATTTTTTCTTTTTTCTTTTTTTTTTTTTAATAAAATCAATTTTGCCTGATATTTGTCAACGCAAAACATAATCTCCTATTCAATAAAGGATCAAGCAACATTGATGATTCATTAGACAAACCATTCAATATCCTATTTAAAAAGGAATTCAGAATTCTATTTCAGTGGGTCTCTTAGAAGCTGAACTACAAAGAGTAAAACATTTGACTAAGTCGAACATCGGAAGCAATCCATTCAAACATGCAATAACTCAGGGTTGTAGATTGTGAGCAGTTCATGTATTAAGTGAAAAAAAAAAAAAAAAAAAAAAAAAAAAAAAAAAAAGATAGGGCCTTCTTACTTTTTTTTTTTTTTTTTTTAAAGAACGATTTGTATCAAAAGAAAAGTAACTTTCATCATTTGAAAGATCATCATCAAAAAAACTTAGATACTTAATAATACCATGTACTGGGATTTGCAGTTGTTAGATTGCGGATACACTGCCTTCACAATCGAAGAAAAAGAAACACTTGAAGCGCAATTGCAACAGCATGCCGCAATCTAGGAATGCATATTAAAAATAAATAAAAAAATAAAAACTGTCAAAGAACTAATAATTTTTTATAAAAAAAAATTGTGGATTTTAAAAACAAAGGTATCATAATTGACTTGATCATGTCTTACCAAAAAAATCTCTGTGTTGCCTTGCCTTTGACTGTTTTATTAAAACCACCGTTCCATGTCTGCAACCCGTGGTAGAGGTACTGAGGTAGGCTAAGAGAGTCGCTCCCAAGTATGGTGATTCACCTTCTCCAATTTCTCAACAAATAGGATAGACATACACTGAATGTTGCCCATTGGAGGTGGGGACAACCAGGAAATGATTGCAAGGAGCAATGCAATCATCATTTGTCTAAGATCATTGGCCTTTTTAGTTGCAATCGCTTTCAACTTGGACATACATGCATTGTTCTTCTTCACAGGTGACAAATTGAACACCTGTTGAAAGGCAGTGGGATCATAGCCAAAGAAGGCGCTGAGTCAAGTACAATTCGTTCTTGAGTGTTATGTTATGGTGTGGCTGGATAGATTAAAGTAATCAACCCCCGAGGAGTTGACACACTTTGACAACAGAAAATCTACAAGAGGAAGTAAATTGCTAGAGCCCTCCACTTTGAGGAGGCAGAGTCGACAACTAGCACCATCAATTCTTTCATCCATAAAGCATTGAAACTCTTGATCAAGGGCAAGGGCTTGGCATAGAGAGGCAATTATAACAACTCTCCCACTACCCTTAGTTGCCATATTGTAAGAATCCTTCCAGCAGCAATTTAGCATCAGAACTCAAAAACAGCGAACACAAATTACCCCAAGTCAACAAATAATCAGGTAAGAGTAAACTATAAACATCAATGACAATCATAAAATTTAGTGCTCCACTCAAAACCAATGATTTCAATTGATTGTATTGCTTGGCTACACAGGGTAGATTATCAAAGTATTGATTCAATGTGATGCCCTTTGTGTCCTATGCATTCAGGATATGGAGAGCATCATCACCTATTCTATCAATGTCGTATGTCTGCTGAAATTTGGAGACAGATTCTCTTATGGTTAAGCTATGACAGACTGCAAAACTGGCAATGGTAGATTCGTTTTATGAGAACACACTCAAAGATAATTTAGTGACAGTGGCAGATCTAGGAATTTTTCCGTGCAGGTTTTGAGTCTTCAAGCACATATAGTGAAATCACATACCATAATCTGAAATACAAATTAGATTTATAATTAGAGTGTGCACATTTGAGGTTCAATTTTTTGTATTGGAGATTCATTTTTTACTAGATATGGAACATAAACTTACTAGATTTTTTCCCAACTGAACCTGCTATACTGCCACCTGGTAATAAAATTAATAATATGCACATTGTCTCTTTACTTAAATTTACTATTTTGTTCATATCTTGTCACGGCTTGGGCATGGATTGTCAGTTTGTCACATAAATACAGTCGACCAGCTGTTACAGATGGATATTGTGTCCATAATCTTGAACATAGGCTTAAAATTGTTTGCCTGTTGGACCCATGGTAAATTCTGCTTCATTGATATGCTGTATTAATTGTATACATAGATCAGTAATTCAGTATAGCCTTTTATATTATGAAACCAATGTGGCTACTCAAATTTGAACCAATGAGGCACATTTGTGTGGCGCTCTAAGTACTCCTAATTCCTAAAAATTTCCTCCTTATATTTTGATTTCATGTTGTGCCCGTTCCAATTTTTATGTTGTAGCACTGACATTTCTTATTTGTATGTCAGACTCTCCCGCATCTGGTCTATTCCGCTGTTATGACAGGTAGATCTGCCTCCTACTCATCCCTGCTTCCCTTTTCTCCTTTGATGGTCTATTATTTCCTTCAGTTTGACATTGCTTCCCTCGCTTGATCTCCCAGGCATCCACGAGCCATCAGTGAAAAGCTAAAATAGGAAAATTTATTCTTCTGTAGTTGATTGTTTATTCAATGTTTTCAGTAAATCAGTACCTCAATTAGCGGGGAAAAAAAAATATCTTTCATTAATATTAGATGGACGTTATTTCCAGAAGTCGGTATAACTTTGTGGTTTATCTAAAATATGATAACAATTGCTTTGAGGTAGGGTGTTTCTTCCCATTGGAACTCTTTACTCTCTTCAGATGTGAGCTGATATGTAGAGAAGTAGATGAGGAAGCATGATTCTATTTCATCTTTGAATTGTAATAAATTGCCCTATAATTCTTAAATGAACTTGTCTTAACAAGTAGTCATTGCTAATTTTCTATATGCTGCTGATGAAATAGTAAATCTTAATTTGACTTTTATTGACATGCAAAAACTGGCGTGAGTTAAAAACTCTTGTCATCATACCAATCTACGTCCTGTATAAGAATTGTTGAGGCCAAATTCTAATTTTTGCCGGCGACTTTTTCTCTCTTCTAATAGTAAGCTTTCTTGTGAAATTTTTTTTTATCTTCGAATCGATTTCCAATTTTCCAGTAGTTAGAATTGTTCTACTCTGTGCATACCAGAAATTGTGCTAGTTCATTGAAATGTGTAATTTAATTTCAGTTTGTCTATCATCTATTACAATATTATCTGTCCCCTCATAAATTTATTCTTTCATATTCATCTTGTTAGTTCCTTCTAAAGCTGTTGATCTTTACCTGGATGTGAGGCGCTTAACTGAAGGACATATACAGGTAAATCTATGATTTTTCCATATCCATATTATTACTCTTGCTCCTTTGGTGGCTTAATTATCTATAAATTCTTCCAGGAGTTTGCTGAACCTAATTATGATAAACTTCTCCCTAACTTGATTAAAGAAGACGAGCAGTTTAGAGTTTTCACACTTGTTTTGGATCTTAGTGAGACATTAATTCTTCATGACTGGAAGGTGAGTGATATGTTACTATTTTAAGCATTGGTGTCCCCTGATGTTCCAGCATCCACTTTACTATGTTATTTGATTTGGATATTTCTTAATATTTCAGACGTCTTTTTCTTCTGGCGATCATTCATTATGCTCCCTTACTATTTTTCTCTTGATATAGATAAATAAAATTGTGTATTGGCTTCTAAATTACAATCGACAACAGTGCAATATGAAATTGTTACCAGATCTTCTGATTATATTTGTTCTCGTTTCTATCTAAAGCGTGAGACAGGTTGGTCTACTTTTAAGAGACCAGGACTGGATGCTTTCTTGAAGCACATGACTCAAATTTATGAGATAGTTGTCTATACCGATAAAGTGGTATGTACTGAACTTCATAGTTCAAAACTTCAAATACTACCTGATACCATTTGACTCATATCACTTTGTTAAATTTGTTATTATGGCTTGTTCAGCTGGAGGATAACATATATGCGAAGCTCATGGAAAAAGGTGTGCATCATGTTCTGGGAAGGGCCGCCACAAAATATCAGGATGGAAAGCATTTCCGGGTTTGTATTTGCTAACTTTTACCGTTCTATTTTCCTTGTTCTACTGTTTCCAAAGTGACGAAAGACCTCAAATGAGGGCTCTTTTTTCTCTTTGGGTATATTGATTTTGGGGAGATCTATGGAGTTATGAGGCTTTCTGCTTGTTGCCCATTCTCCTATTTAGCAATCACATAGAGAATTTATCGTAGCTAGTTAACAGTTTGGTTAATCATGATGCCAAATGACTTGAAATCAAGGTCTGTGATAAAAAGCATTTGCTAGCATTTAAAGAGTGAGTGGATGGGTATATACGGTATTATAGATATTTGGCTTAATAAATCTTTCTTTAATTGGTCATAATATGCAAAGGACCGTCAACTTTGTTTTACTTGATGTTTTGCATTAAACACCAGACCAAGAACTTTTTATGAAGTGGTGAAACAGAACTGGTCACCCTAAGTATGATGATTCTGCTACTGCATGATTGTAATGAAGATTGATAAATATACTAAATAGACTATTAGACTATGAGATTTTTGAGTGTATATGCCTTTGCATGTTATGCATCTTAGTCCATTGTCATTTAAGGCGTAAGATCGACTATTACTTGGCTTTAGATTATATTGGATTAATCAGAATGTCTCAGATTGTTCTTATTTTGTTATGATACAGACAATCAATTACAGACCAAGGGTCTTGCAGAAACAGCTTTCTGTTCGCTAGGGTATTGCTGCATATACATTAACCCTCTTCCACCTAAGCCATTCTGGAAGGGAGACTCTTTAGACAAAGTGTAGCAATATTGATGCTATAGTTGTGTCTTCATATTCTTTTATCCACAGCGACTTTTCTGTGGTGTGATTTCATTTTTGGCTGTATTTTCAGGCCTTGCCCTTGGGACCTTGGCTCAAGCCAATAGTTTTTACCACTTTTATATCATATTGAAAAGATATGTTCGCATTCTGATTTTTAGATAGGAGAGCATAGGAGCTCTGCTTGAAAGCTTGGCTACAGTACCCTCTCTACTCGTCCATAATAAAGACTGTATCTAAGTTGAGAAGACCATTCTCTTTTGTAAGGTGCCTGATAGTTTTTATTAGTGTTGATTTATTGAGATTATAGATTAGTTAGTTTGAAATTTTGAAATACAGAGTGCGTAATTTTTTAAGCGTGGTTTGAAACGTATCCTCTACAGTAACTTGTACCTGTGGTAATTTCCCATTTGTCCTGTAACTTTAATTCATGTTCCAAGATCTGCTGTCAAATTTTTTTTGCTGTTGGCATTGGGATCTGTTGTACATGGTTTATCCTCCCATGTCATTCATTTAAGATAATGAATATGGCTTTTTGTCATCTGTCTTTTGTCACAACTATGCAGGATCTCTCCAAGCTAAATAGGGATCCTTCAAGGGTTATCTATGTGAGTGCACATGCACTAGAGACTTGCCTTCAGCCTGAAAATTGTGTTTCTATCAAACCTTGGAAAAAAGAAGCTGATGATACGACATTGATTGATCTTATTCCATTTCTTGAATGTGAGTACCTGTCAGGCTATATCAGCTTCTTGTCACATTTTCCAGTATAGAATTTGTAGCAATGCATTTTTCAGAGTGGTTACAAATTACGATTAGCTGTTCACTCTCTCTCTCTCTCTCTCTCTCTCTCTCTCTCTGACACACTGATTTATTTTATTTTTTATCTTTGTAACTGAACAGACGTCGGTGTTCAAAAACCTGCTGATATAAGACCAGTTTTGGCGTCATACCAAGGGAAGGATGTTGCAAGTGAATTCATTAATCGTTCTAGAGAGTATCAAAGGTAATAGTAACTTCACCTTGAACATTAGTAAACTACTGTATATGAGTATCAGCTTATAGGAATGCAGTTGATGTCTAAGGTGATTTTCTCACATCAAATAAGATGCACATTCCACTGCCTCTGCTCATACGTAGGCGTGCTTGCATACCCATGCATCATGTCAAATATGTCAGCTGTTTTTCTAAAGAGTACAATGCAAAGGGTAGAATCTATTACATACTACTAAAAGCAAAACTAAAAATGACACTTGACGACATATTATTTTAAATTTTCCCTCCAAATTTACTTGCTTAAATAATTTTCATTGTCATACAAAAAGAAGGTTTGTATCTAATTAATGACATTCACTTTATATAAAATCTAAACTAAACTTCCTAAAATATCAAATTGTCTATTAAAACCATTTAATTAATTTTTTTTTTACTATTTTAATATTGTATATTTTATTCATACTTTTTTGTTAAAGGATTTTTTTCATACTTTTAATACTTGATGAGTCGATTTATTAAATTTTTTACCTTTCTTTGTAAAGTTATTTTCATAATAATTATTTAATAAGTTAATAACCGTGCATTGCACTGGACTTAACCTAGTAAAAAATAAAACATTTCCTTTAATTTATAGTCCACCTGGCGACAACTGTTCCACCTTTCAACTTGCATTGTTGTTTGAAATATTTGAATCCTTCGCTGTGTTCATCAGATCATTGTAGCCCTCTATGGAGATTAATGAAGGTCATTATGATGACGACTTTACGATAGTGTTCCCTGCAACTTATGCTCTGTGCTCCTAATGAATTATTAATGATGTTGCAGGCAGATTGGAAAGAAACAAAATACCTTCCCTTGGGGCCGCCATTCATAGAAGCAACGGTGCTTCCCATAGAATGTTATTATTTACTAGAGGCTGGTTAAGCAATACTTCTCTCAAATTTGCTGCTTGGCATTAAAATATGGATGCACATGTTTGACAGCTCGAGGATTTGCTGAGTAGTTTGTAAATCTTGTTCTTACTGAACCTGATAACAGTTTTCAATCTATAGAGTATAAATCTTTTGTTCAGAATGATCTTAACATTACAGCTAATTTACTTCCTGAAATAATAAGGAAAACAAAATTGCAGGCTTCGGTTTCTCTTGAACATTAAATTACAGGTTTCAACTTTTGAATCTGTAGATTCCACAATGTTGCGATGGAACATTACAATTTCTGAGTCTTCGGAGTCGTTTGGTTTAATCTGAGGAAGCAAGGCAAAGAGGAGGGATTGAGGTGATTGAAATTATGTTGATTGAGGTTCTTAAAAATCTCTCAACTAATTTAACTTCTAAATGAATGTTAAGGATAGAAGTTCAATTGACAGAAGTCTGCGGTTTTTCGCAGTGATTGTCCAAGGTGCAACCAACATCATTTAATCATTTTGGTTCAATTTCTATTTAAAAAAATTGTATTTTTCACATATATTTTTCGTATTATGATCAGTGATCGATAATATAGTTTGAGAAATGGAGAGAAATTAATCAATTATACATTTCGTATATTTGTATAATATAATTATTGATTCAATGGTTGGCTATGTAGGTCATAACTCAAAGCCTAAACACAAAAATGTGGTTTAATATATGGGCACCCCAATCCGCACAATACAAATTTGGTTGATGCGGTTTTGTAGGTAACCTATCCAAGTTAATTAATACTATATTGTCTTAATAAACGATATTTATAACATGGAGTATTACAATATAGATTCAATGTCACTAGATTTTTTTATTTTATTTATTTATTTATTTTTTTTAAAGTGTCACCTTCAAATCTTCAATCCTATAACACTGAAGTTCAAAACACTGCATTCACAAGCTGACAAGCATACTAACAACTTTTTTGTAAAAGATTTTAGTCAAAAGTTGCATTAAATTTTTTGCGGTTTGATTTCAATATTATAAACCCCAACAATCTAAGCCAAACCAAATTGCAAAGAAATACAGTACCAAGGGAGTTGGGAAATGGCCAAATGGGAAGGAGAGTACAATTCAAAGATATTGAATGATAGGATACTTGACATTACTTCGATAACTTATAAAGTTATAAGAAATGGTTGTTGTAGTTGATTTAATAGTGAAAAAGTTAGGTATTGTAAATAAAATTTCTTAAATGGTTGTCAAAAGTAAATTTACATGTTTTGAATGTCTTGTTTCACATAATAGTACTTCTTCGTTTTTCTTTACTTGCAACAGTTTGACTTTAACACAATTCACATATCTCACTTTGACTAACCTTGGTGATTTATAAGTTAGGAAAAATATAGTTAAGTGAGATCTTGTTTTACTCGTCTCGATTTTATACTTTCATAATATCAAATTTTTATAATTTTTACACATTGGTAATTAAAGATGTTGACGATTGAAATAGTACATTGACAAGCGTGAAAAGAGAAGTGTTGTAAGTATAAAGAAAGAGGAAGTATTTTCTTTAGTTTTGCAATTTAGATTTCAATAAATCTACACGAGTAGTGTAGATGTTCGTCCGTCTCCCTATGGCGGAATCATTAGTTTTTGTTAGTTTAGTTGTTTATTTTTGTTTGGGGTTTTATTGTGTGCTAGGGTTTATTAAAAAGGTAATCATCTTTTTCCCTATTATTAGTTCGTTGGTAAAGAGTTATCCGGGATCGCAACGGTTGTCAAATCTTCAAAAGCGTTCAAGTGAATCAGATGAAAACCATTCTTACGGCTACAACAAATCGTTAGACTGTCTCTCCAAAAAGGCTGTATATTCCAGCGATGTATGCGAGAGATGTACCACCATGCAAAATCTATTCAAAGATCGTAGCTTTGATAAAGAAAACCCTTATTTGATTCAAATTTATGTGTTTGTTGATTTAGATTTCATTTGTAGATGTTGTATGGCTTTTGATTAATGAATTGATTTGTTTCCAAAAAAAAAAAAAAAAAAAAGGAAACGGTGGAAGTATTATACAACATTTCTTTTTTAATAGACATTATACATTACGGTACTTTTTTTGTGTGGTTGGCCACACCCTACACCGTGTGGCCGGGGTTACTTATTAAGGGGTTACTTATTTATGGTTACTCAGTCGGTCATGAGTTACTTATTTTGGGGTAACTTAGTCGATTAGCGCGTTTTCTGTATGAGCGTAACCCCTGACCGATCGAGTAACCCCCTGAATAAGTAACCCCTGACCGAATAACCCATGACCGACTGAATAACCTCTTAATAAGTAACCCCGGCTATACCGTGTGACCAGCCATATGAAAATTTGTGATAACATTATGCCTACTTCATGAGCCCAATTCACAATCAACCTCAAGTCAAATGCCAAACAAAACCATAGTCCATAGCCCATATCCCATAGCCAAACCCTCGACAGTTTGAACTCATGCTAGATTTGTTCACCTGTAATTCCTCAAAAGGTTGTAATGAATTCATGTTGGTATTAGGCTTTGTAATTTCTACTCCCTATGTTTTTTGTCAGTGCTCCAGTTCGATCGAAATTTATGTCAAGAATTTGACCAATGATGTACAGCATTATTTCATCAACAAGTATAATTTACTTACTTGAATATTTATAACCTTATCCATATTTACAAGTACAAACATTAGTCTAAGGTATGTTTTGTTCATCTTATTTTCACTTATTTCAGGTGTAATAAGGTTAGATAAGTTCAGTTTAGGTTAATAAGTTCTGATAAGGGTTACTCAAGTACAAATTACAACAAAAACAAGTTTTAATAAGTTCAGGTAAGTTCAGATAAGTTCAGATAAGTTTAAATAAGTTCAGATAAGTGAAAATCAGATGAATTGAACACACCCTAAGTGGTATATTTTTTTTGACAGGAGTCTAAGTGGTATATGTGAATAATATAACAGTCAAATTGAGGCCTTTAAAAATGGAAGTAATATATTTGACTTCACCAATCTTTTTCTTTTTAAAAGGAAAAAAAAAAATCACTAATCAATTAGCCACCAATGTGACCATTTATCAATATGTGATTCTGAGAACTACTTTTCAATCTAAATAAATAAATAAATTTCCCAAATTTATTTTAAGAAAATTCCCTCAAATTCTAGAACACAAATTGTGTTACTATTAAAAACTTTTATTGGTGTAAGTTTCTCCCAAAAAATAAAAAGGGTTAATGGTGTTTTAATTGTATTTTTCCATGCCAGAAACAAAAACAAAAAAATCAAGTAAAAACAAAATATCCCTTTCTATAAGAATATTTCTCTGACAATTCTGGTATTTGGGCCACTTTCTCCGACCTCTGCCACTCTCTTCACCTCCACTGCTGTTTTCTCCTCACACCAATCAACAGGTTTCTCTTCTTTTCCATTTTTCCTCATTTTTTTTTTAAATTTTTGCTAATTAAAAACCCAATTTTTTTATTTTCTGATTTTTTATTTCTTTCTTTTATGAGAGATTATGATTATTATTTTTTTTAAGATTACCATGCACGATTAAATCTTATATAAAAAAAACAACGAAAATTCCAATCTCTATTTGATTCTTTCCCATCTTCATAATAAGAAACTGTGTTAAATTTAACAGTTTTTTTGGTTAAGAATGATAATGCTTGAGAATGAGGAAAGGTTTATTTGTTTGCTTTGTATTATGGGTATTAGATTAAAGTGGGTCAATTGTTTTTTTCTTAAAGAAATCACAAAATTATGAATTTTTATAATTGTTATGGATAGTACTAGAATGATGATTATTAATAACCCTTTTTTTTTTTTTTTCCAAAAGTATTGATTACAATTGTAATTGAAGCAATAGTAATGGAATTGTTAAACTATTGCGTGCAGGTTTCCTTACTGCAGCCTCGAGTTATCTCGATTGTAAAGGTATCTCGTCGATGCCTTAACCCTTTGCCTGTTGCAACGAGAGGAGGTTGATGTTGTAGCTTCTCGTCGATGCCTTAACCTTTAATTTGGCTGTTGTGACAAGGAGGTTGATGTTGTAGCTTATCGTCGATGCCTTAACCGTTAATTTGCCTGTTTCGACGAGGAGGTTAATTGATGTTGTAGCTTCTCGTTGATGCCTTTTTGTCATTGTCATTAATTTGGCTGTTTCGACAAGGAAGAGGTTGACGTTGTAGCTTCACGTTGATGCCTCTACTATTACAATCAAAGAGGCTTTGTTTCTCTTGCTTTTACCTCTTTGCCTCGCTCATCCTTGCCTTCTATGTCTCTATCTCCCCTAGCGTGAAATGCCTCCTTTTCCGCGCTGCTCCCTATGATCCCATCCAATCTCCTCTCTTCTCTTACCCTTCGTCTTATGGCGAGCACAAGCATGTTCTTCCTACACTCCGTTCGTCCTGTTCTTCCCCTGTTTTCTTCTCAGGTATAACTTTCCCACTATTTATTCGGGGTGGACTCATCTTCCCTTTGCCGTCTTGTTGCTATAACTTGAATGTGTTTTTCCGTGTTTGATAGATTATCCATCCCTCTTCAATGAGATACAACGAGGTTGTCAAGATCAGGTTGATTCGCCTTTGAGGTATATGCAAGGGAAGGCTGTTACATTTGGTGGGAATTTTAGCTTAGAGAAGAGGATTAATTTTTTTGATGCATTTGAACAAAATATAGAATTCCCATGTGGATTCTTTAAGCCATTTCCTATCAATGATTATGGTTAGTACACTTGATGTTATGACTAACAAATAAACATTCAATAATATTGTTTAAGTTTAAGCTGACTTGATTTTTAAAACGAGTTTGTATGATACCATAGCATGATTTTTGTTTCAGATCGAGCAGAAATGGGGAGGTGCAAAGGAGTGGTAGTAGTATCCGCGATTTTTGGTGATCATGATAAAATCCGGCAACCAAAAGGAATTGGTTCTAAGACATTAGACATCACTTGTTTCATCATGTTTGTTGATGATGTTACGTTGAGAGGGCTTCTTAACCACAACTTAATTTCGAAAGAATCGAATGAATATAAGGTTGGTGTGTGGAGGCTAGTCAATGTCTCATCCGAGGGCTTGTATCGAAATCCAGCCATGAATGGCGTGATACCAAAGTATCTTGTTCACAGGCTTTTCCCTAGTGCAAAGTACAGTATTTGGGTGGATGCTAAATTGCAACTTGTGGTTGATCCTTTGCTTTTGATTCATTCCCTTGTTATCAAGGAAGATGTGGACATGGCCATTTCGAGGCACCCGTTTTTCACACACACCATGGAGGAGGCTATGGCGACGACGAGGTGGAGAAAATGGTTAGATATTGAAGGAATAAAGATACAAATGGAAAGTTATTGTGAAAATGGGTTACGTCCTTGGTCATCTAGTAAACTACCTTACTTATCCGGTAACAATCTTCTTTTCTATATCATTTTTTTTTTCCGTTCATTATCGAGTTTTACACTACTTATATTTATTATCCCATGCATTTCAGAATGTTTGTCCTAGTTGACTTTTAATAAATATTAAAGATAACATAAATAAACCGATAAAAATATATATACTTAAGTAGAACAATGCATCATGTATGGATATGATAAAATGGAGTTTGATAAAAAGATCATAGTAAAACATGCATTACCGATTACAAAGCCTCAAATCTGAAAAATTGATTTATTTGCTTTACTATGACCTTAATTTTAAAGTGGTAGAAAAATGTTAATTAGTCTCTTGAAATTAAAACTAATAACATTACTTGTAAAGTGTACTTGAACCTCTAATTTTGACTTTTTTGTTTAAGAATTAAAGGAAGCGTTAGTATGTAAAATCAATGAGGATTTGTACTAATAATTAAAAAGAGTGTAATTGATCACTTATAGCTTAAAATTGAAGTATAAGATACACTTTTTCTTGTTTAAATATATATAAAAATGGATTAGCCGTGTATATGAAATCTAACTATTACAAGTAAACTTGTTATGTAGGACATATCCACCTAACTTGCATGCGTATCCTTGTGTTATTAGATATGTAGATAAAGCAAGGTTAGGAATTTAGGATTGATGATTGTACTAATCACAGTAAAGTCTTTGTCCCACTTAATTAATACTATTAATTAGTACTGTTTTGGTGTTACCTGCTCCAATATCTACTTCGTAATCATATATTCTAGATGAGCATTTGTGCAAGTCCCCTCCACTCCGACAATGATGTAGGTTTTGGGCCGGTTTTGAGTTCTTTTTAACCCGATATGACCTGACTTAACCTTTGGAATATTCAGAATATAACTATATCACATAAATTTCGTTTTCTTTATTCTTTATTTTCTTTTATTTGAATGACAATATCGTTTTTAAGTTAAACAAGCTTAAACCGACAATATATAGATTATTCGAGGGGGAAAAGTCATTATTTTATTTAGAATTTCTTTATTGATTCATCTTTGTGAACATATTAAACAATAAACATCCAGAGAATCATTTTCTGGAAGCATTTAATACAATATATCAATATCCATGTCTAATATATATACCTGGGTGCATCTAGTACTAAATATAGACTTACAAGAGTTTTAGAGTGGTCTCGATCACACACATATTACAACATGACAGTCATTGAATCTACCTTCTAAATTTTAGAGTTTGCTTCAGGAGCATCCAAATATATGTAAGAGTATGTAGACTACTAATGTTCTAGTATGGAATATAATGAATATTTGGATATGATTCATTATTTTGTGAAGTAATTAAATAGTGTATTATGTCCACATATCGACTTGCATTAGCTAATTTGTGGATTGAGAAGTATGAATTAATATTGTCCATAGTTTGTAAAAGGACAAGATGATGCATTGCTGGATCTAGGTGTTTAACATTAAATTACCACATTTATTTGACACGAGATCCCCCATCTATTATTAAATTCTTTTGTTAATGGATTTGAGGACATGATGTTACTCACATGACTGATGACTCTAAGCAAAATTGGATGTTTTAGTTCTTTTTATCTTTCTTCCATCTTCTCACCTGTAGCAGTGTTGACTAATGAGTTGGTAAAATCAGTGTCTGTTTAGATAATTTTTGGTACGAATGAGTTACAAGGGTAATGGGTTTCTAATTCGTGACTTGTTGTATTATATACAGACCCTTAGTCTTAACCACTAGGCCAAGACCTCATTGGTTATGGGTGGGATTTATTAACGAATGATAATACCATATGCTTTAGAATATATATAGATGGTACATCAGAAAATGGTCAAGAGGGAAAATTGAAGTGTCGTTGTCTAGCTAATTTAACACTTGTTACCATGAAATATTGAAATAAATGAAAGTGAGATCTTTAACATGGCTTTTGTCAACATATATACAAGTATAATAATAGGTAGGATAAATGATATGAGCAGCTGATCTGAGTTCAGAAAACTTTAACTTGTTTCCAACATTTTCAAGTTTCAAAATTTTCTGAGGGCCCGAGGGCCCGGACCTTGTATCTGTTCATGTCTTATGATATGTCACTTTGATTTTACTGTTTGTAGCTTTTTGGTCTACAAAAAAAGAATGTCTCTTTCAATCTTTAATTCAGTCCCACAGCCAGCTATATTTTGGAACCATACTTTCTGATTGGTAATGGAAGATAATGGAAGATCAGGAAACTTCGGCTTTTTTTTTTTTTTTTTCTAAAATTACTTTTATTTGAACTTATAGCGAAAGGTGGCAAAAACCAATAAGGCTTTGGCCTAGTGGTTAAGACCAAAGGCTTGTGTACGAGATAGCACTTTGGTATTAGATAAATGATTGCTTTTATTTGATGAATTCTCCTTGCTAAACTACCGGCTTAAATTAATACTCCGTATGAATAATTATTTTGCTATCAACATATTATGCAGGTGTTTTTGAAGGTTATGAGCATATTGTAACGAACCGGTAGTTGTTGCATGTAAAGTTGACAAATAATGTTGCATTAGTATATATTATACTTACAAAGTTACAAATTATAATAAATACTTACAAGTATATAATGTATTGATGATATTAACCGATAGATGGCTTATCATGTGTTGCATGCTAGATTGTTCAATATGAGGTCGAAAAATTATGTTTTGAGAAAGGGATAAGACTTGATTCTTAGTAAGGATAAGTTTTCGATTGTTTGGCCTCTTGTTTAAAACACTCATATGCATACTTTTTATTGCGAAGTACTATCTTATGAGTTGTGTGTATAAACTAGTACATCTCAAATTAATAGACATATTTGATTTTGATTTACAAAACATGCTAATTGTTCCAACAAAATTGTCAAAAACTATACTGACTTGTGATGTAAATAACAAAACATTTGATGAGGCAACAAGTTTTAGCAGCAGTGTATGAAAATGGGTTGTGTTGATTGCAGACGTGCCAGATACAGCCTTGATACTGCGAAAGCACGGAGTAAGTAGCAATGTCTTCTCATGCCTGATGTTCAATGAGTTAGATGCCTTCAATCACAGAGATCAGCTGGCCTTTGCATATGTGAGGGACGAGATGAAGCCTAGAATCAAAATGAACATGTTTGAGGTGGAAGTACTCGAACAGATTGTATTGGAATACCGGCACAACCTTAAGCGTGGCAGCTCTTCTACCACTCCTGCAAATAAACTCAAAATCAAAAGGGCTCAACCTGATGTTTCGAGGGCCAACGGCCTTGGCAAGTGTCAAGGGTATTTTTCGGAGATGTGGGGGGAATCACATTATTGATCCTTCTTGTTTAAGAGCAGTATAGTTCGTTATTCTTTTATTGTTGTTTATAGTCATATTTAGATAGGTTTTAGACAATTTGGTGCTATTTTGTGCGCCATCTATTCTCATGTTAAATGCATTTTTAAGTCCCTGCTGTTTTGTACTCCATACTTCATCAATTCATGGTGTATATAATTTATATAGTTAAAAGAGATACAGATTATCTACTCACAAAGTCGACCAAACTCTATGGAAATCTATTAACTGATCGATTTATTTGAGGTAGTTTGCTCAGAAAATATGGAATTATTGTGTATGTGTTTGGATTGATAAGTTCAACAAGTTTAGTTTCATCAATCGGAGATTTTTGGTGAAGGTTTTTCTTACCTAGCATTGCTGGATTGTTGTTGATCACTAGAATCATGTCTAATTGCTTATGCCCGGTGTAGGCAAACATACCAATGGAACTCCCAAAAAACTGGGTTCCAATTTTGCAAATTCGTACTGCAGCTGGAATTAATAACACTGAGATGGAACATAAATTGTTGATTTGCATAGAATATGAACAATCTAAAAGAAATCCCGTGATTAAAATTAATATGGAGGATTGTTTGCTACGTTGTGGGGGTTACCATTTGCAGTAATGGAGTAGGGATACTATGAATGTAGCAGTGAATGTACAACATGAATGGAAACCAAGACATTGTGCTGTATGCAACGGTATAGGACATGAGGCTGTAGTGTGTAAGAGAGGGAATGAGAGATGGATATGGTATGGGTGCCAAGACCTGTGTAGAAGCAACAACAGGTATCAAAGCCTGTCGCGGATACTGGCATTCCAACAATCCAGAATGCCACCACTGAGGCAGATTTTGACACTAAAGAATGGGAAGAGGAGGGTGCTGACCCTAACTGCATCTATTACGACTTCCAGTAGCTTTTAGGTACTAGCTCCCGCCCTGATGCCTATTGAAAATGAGAGAATCAGATCCAGAGTAAAGGAAAGAGAAGTGCTGCATTTTAAATCTTGCACTGATGACTGTATAATGATGGCTGTAAAAGCCACTGGCATATATTGTAATACCCTGTATTTTCGGTAATTATTTCATAATTATTTAGTAACTATTTTACAAATTATTTAGTTAGAATAATTATTGACAAGGTGAGGTGCAAATTCTCAATCATCACTAAGCAAAAAATGCAGTAGGAACTTGCGTTGCTGATGCAATTTTAACTAAAACCCCACGTTAGGGTTTCCAGATCCAACGGCTGCAACTCCCATTCCACCAACCTGATCTGATACAAGTTCTGGTTTATCTTTCTCATCGAATTTTGCTATGACTTTGTCGCCATTGATCTTCTTAACAAGCTCATCAATTTTGCGGAATTGAAATGGCCATCTCGAGTTGTACAAGAATTGACGCAGATCAAACCTATTGTCCTCTGGTGAATAGCTCTTCAAAACAGCAACAATACATATAAGGATTTACAATCAACAACATAACCTATGCCAAGAAAACAGTGTTCAGCAGAAAAAGATACCTCTGCATGGTAGGAAGGCGTAAGGACAGTCATCTTGTGCCGATTGATGGAATAGTACTTGAAGAAAAACTTCACCTTCTCAGCAATTTCTGATGGAGTCAATACTGAACCCCATCTAAAGCAAAGATCCTGCAAGAAGTTGAAATATTGATAAATAGCAAAAGCCAACCCCTACTAATTTGAAGGATCACTTTTTAAAATTAAGACTGAAAATTATGCATATTTACTTTTTATCCAATATATTTCTATTACTGTAGATTATTTTCTGGAATCCCCAAAGTATGCTTGGGCATTAACTGGTGACAAGTAAAATATTCCATATTTTGATATGTGAAATTCATGTCCTTGAATGAGGTTAGATCTATTGCTCACTTCTTAAAGAACACAATTACTTAAATTATCACCAACTGCTATTCTGATCAAGGCAAAAAATCAAAATCCTAGTTCAGGCTACACTAAACTTTTTATCAATCTATTGTTCACTTCTTTTTACCATCTAATTACCCATCAATTAAATCCATTTTGAGTTATCATTGGCACCAGTTAATAAGCTATTACTTGCTAACAAAATATTAGCATGGCCGCCTATAATTTTACTCCCAAATAAAGACGCTTTTAACCAACTAGAGTTTCTAGAAGCTCAGTTTAAAAGGACAATATCATACTTGTTCTGTGGGATGACTTGTGCTTTAAACGATTAGACATTGTAAATGATAGTGAATTCCGTAATTTCTAGTCATTACAGAAAAATAAATTTAACTTCCGCTATGCAAATCGCAAAACCATTCAATGCTTATGACGCTCTCAACCTAACTGCTTGTAGATAGTTGAAGGAAAACTGGAGAACAAAATGTGTACATCAATATGAACCAAAGTTGTACATACCGTGAACATAGATACTGGACCACGACGATAAATTTTACGCAGTCGGCCATAAACTGAGAGGTCTTCATACGTCATTCCCATGTCCACTTCATCCAGCTGTGAGAAAAACATAATATGGAGAAGCTAAGAATCAACTTTCTACTTCAAGGGAATAAAAAAACATATTATACTTATCTCTCCAAACAAAGAGAGAGAAAAGCAACCACGAGAATGAAGGTGACGTGAAGAGAAATTAAAGAAATATTACAGCAGCTCAACTGTTTCAGTTAATACCACAAAACAGAATATCAATGGGATGAGCCAACAAAATTCATAATTCCTAGCCTAAGCAAGAGAGGGTAGTAGAAAAGACCAAGTAGTAACTAATCTAACTATCAATTACGTTAAGCTGATGTTACCATAATTCTGTAGCAACTCTCACTCACACTACTGGGCATAAATGAATCCCCACTATAAACAGCATAGCAAACCATTATTTAATGGGTGTTCAACAAATCTGCAAATTAACTACTGGTATTTTAAGTCATAAGAGGAAAAGCAAACAGGAACAAGAAGAAAAATTATGAAGTACAACTAAGTAACAACATTTGACACAAGAATGTTTAGTGATACATCTACCAAAGAGTACCTGTGTGTAATCTGAGCGAATTGGCTCCAATTCAGCCGTTGGTGGTGCAGCTTCAACCTCAGCCAAAGAAGAGTAGCCAAGATGGACAGCAGCCCACCGCAAGAATGCTCGAAGATCAGTCTTACTAATACTTCCAATAGGATTTATGTCGGCTGAGCTACAATCATACTAACAAACAAAGCCAAAAGTATTAGTAGCACAATCAATGGATGAGCAATAGCTACAAATATCCACAAATTTCAACTAAAAATTTGATTAATTCTGTCATGATGGAAGAGAATCAAGATACTTCAACTATACACTAAAGACATGAGGTCAGACCAGAAAAAAATCACCTTTGTCAAGTAACCACGCAATGCCTCATCGACATTGGAGCTACCAAGGACAAGATAAAACCCAGATTTGCTATGAACCCAAGGCATAAGTGATGCCAACATGAAAGCCAAAACCATTCTGATACGAGCTTGAATGTTCTGTAGCCCTAAGTTCTCAGCATTTGATCCTCCATCAACCTGCATTAAAACCAAGACATTTATAATTTCAAAGGTCTATAGTAGCACTTCATTATTTTAGATTTGTAAAATTAGCTATTTTCAGAAGCAAAATACAGTAATGCACTGAATCATTAATAGACTATAAGGGGGTGTTTGGTTCGCACAGGGGAATCGGAATGGAATGCAGGAGAAAGGAAAGAAATTCCCCTAATTTGGCATGGTTGTTTGGTTATGCCTAGGAAACGGAATGAACTGCTCATTAATTCCCTTTGTCGCTGTTTGGTTGAAAATAGGGAATCAAAGCATCTCCACCAACATCCCACAAAATGCTACTGCTGCACTACCTTAAAAAAAAAAAATAAATAAATAAATAAATAAATCCACTGGTGAAGATAGCAGGTTGGGTCGCTGGTGGTCGGCTCCGATGACTCAACGGTGGTCCTTGGGTATTCAATTGTTAGGGTTTTTCAGAAAACCCCTAAATCGATTTCAAGAACTTTCCATTACTACGAACCAAACCCTAACAAGATGGCGACGACCGTTGCTGGCAACGTCCACTCCACCAGCGACCCAACCTTCGATGTCCACGCCACCAGCGACAACTAGCGACCCAACCAAGAACAGCTCGTTAAGGTTCACTTGAGAAGCTCAAAGGAGAGAGAGGGGCGTTGGTGTTCGACGTTCACGGCTAGGGTCGACGGTCGATGATCAACAGTAGTCAGACGGATCACCGACGGCGTCTTCGACCGTGGTAGGTTCAGTTGAAGGTTAGTTGAAAGGCTTGAGAGGAGAGAGAGAGGGGCGTGGGTAATGAAGGGGAATGGGAATGCAAAAGGCTGGGGGGGGGGTTGGGGAATGATATTAGGAAGATTTTGGGTAAACCCAAAAATAAAAAAGGAGAAAGGGAATGAACTTTTTTACCAAACAAACGACAACAAAGGGAATCATTCCCTTTCCCTTTGTTTAAACCCCCCAACCAAACGCCCCCTAACAATATTAAAACAAATGGTGAAATCCAAATAAACTACACACTTCAAAATCCACCCTCCTATTCTCATAGTCTTTTCAGTGATCACCTTATAGCGAGGGCGTTTTCCTGTTAGTGTCTGAAACAAAGTCAGTAGTGCTGAAATAACACCATCTATGCAGACATCAAGATGCCATGATCCAACCTCATCTGCAAGTTCTTTGGCACGTGATTTTGTGGTTTCAGAGCTGCAAAAAGGATTATATTGACAATCATTATCAAATTACATAATCTAAAGAGCAACAACCTCCCCGAAAAAATGTGGGCAGGGTATTACAAAAATCCTTACCCCTAATCTTTGACATATTGTGCCTATTCTCATAACTACTATTTTGAATCATAAAATGATAGCCATCTATGTAAGATTGTAAAATGGAAAATCATCATGCTCAATTATTTTTGAAGCTCTTATCATTGCATACTTTAGATATGCAATGTTCATGCCAATGTTGATTTGAGTATATTGACGCAAGATAACATCTTAGATATATAAATATACAAAAATATATTTGAAGTTTTGCTCTTGCGTGAAACAGCGCTTCAGCAATGGAAATTCATCGTCTTATCATAGTTGTGATTGATGTGCTAGTTGAGTAGTGAGCATACATCTTGGCACTAGTATGATGCACAAAACAAAAGTACATTGCTTGGAATTATATAGAGTAGCATTTAGTTGTACCTATTTTCCGTTCCCATGAACACAGTGTAAAATATGCGTTTTGCAAACTCTTTGCTATCAGTTGGAAATTTGCCATCAGGATACTGGCCAATCCTTATTGCATCAGATTTAACTCGTTCATCACCATTATGAATTTCTGGATACCAAACAGCATAATTTTATTTTAATGAGTCATAGCAAAAAGAGTAATAATTCATAAAACATGTCATTGAGAACTACTACTATAATATCACCTGAAAATGAAATAAAAAAAAAAGAGCCTTGAACATTAAGATAATGACCATATTCCTATGTAATAAGAACTGCAAAAATTGGCACAAACTAAAGAGTTAATTTCAACAAATAATAGAAAGGCTCATCATGAACTCACCTTTAACAACTAGCTGACACATGCAGCCAACAATTGCAGCAACAGAGGAGCTATCAGCACCTCCAGAAAGTGGAAGCAAGAAACCAGAAGCTCCACTTCTTCTTAAATAGTCCCATAGCCAGCAAGCAGGTCCCAAAGCTATTTCTTCCTCAGGTTTGTGTTCACGAAACTTAGTCTACAAGACACCATTGCATTTCCTTAAGACAAATATACTTGTATATGTAGAGACTAAAAATTGAAAAATATGTTTTTGAAGGAGAAAAAAGTGCACTTTTGTTTAGCAATGTGGAACAAGTTCGCTAAATTGGCATTAGACTTCACAGACAAATGTACATTAAAATCCATTTCAATTACCACCAACTAAACAGGACATAATAGTATTGCATAGTTGAATAGAGAGAGCCCATGAGCACACAGATGAGATAAGTGAATTTTTATGCAATACAACTATACAACAGTTCAATATCCAAAATCAAGACTGGACCAATAGGGGGGGAGCTTAAGTATTGACAATATACCACTAAAAATCTGTAAGTTGTACCCAATAAATAAGTTGTGCTTTGCTTAATTGATTGGATTTATACAAAAAAATTGTTCTGCAAAAACCTAGGCAACCTCTACAGAAGCTCAAAGATGAAGAATCCTTCTCCTCCAATAAGCACACTTAAAATTGCAAAGCATACTTGGAGAAAGCGATTACTTTTGACCAACGTTTTACTTGAATAGGTGATGGGCTAACCTTGAGTGGACATGAAATAGGCTCGACTAAGTGAAATGATTGGCAAAGCTTGTACGGAGCTACAATAAATGGGACATCTACTTTTTTGCTCGCCTGCTGCTGAAGACTACTTGAGGAAAGTCGTAGGCTAGTAATCTGTGATGAAAATATACTATGATCAGATAAATTGTAATCAAGCACAATATGTAATATAGCTAGAAGAAAATAGAAGTACAATACCATCACTGTATTCATATGACCATAAGCATTTAGGTCATATAACTTCTATGACACAAAAGGCAAATCAGCCTGATAACAAAAAGGCTGAAAATTTTCAAGACCAAACATTGAAACTTACTGCATCAAGATCCACGTGAGCAATGACAACTTCCACATCCTTCAATGAAAATTGTGAGCCTTGTGCAACCACATCTCCGTTCACAACAACACAGGAACATCCATCTGCAACATCAATCCAGGGGATAAGAAATAGATAGGTAAACTATATGAACACTACTAAATCACGATAACAAGATCTTCAATTCATCAAAATGATTGATGCCGGTATAAAGTCAAAACAAAGGGATACCGTAATATAAGCGACCACCATCACAACCCTGCTGATTACTATACATGTAAAGCCCTCCACGAGCTTGTGTAGCACCTATAAAAGCATCCATACGAACTTTAAGCTTTCTTAGTTGATGGTGACTTCCACTAGCATTCATAAAAACTTCAACACCATTTAATGCAAGCTGGGCATGTGGTGGATCTGGACAAAATAACTCTTCACAAATTTCAGCAGCAACAGTTCTGACAAGAAAATAAATGCTTGAGCAACAGTCATATCCAATCAGGGAGGGGAAGGAGGGGGGAATGATATGCAAGAACCACAAATAGTCTGTAAAAGGAAAAGCTCAAGATTAGGAAAGAATACATCAAAAAGTGCTCAATAAGATTTCGTACACCAATATGCTGTGAAACAAAATGCAATACATAAAAGTATGTAACATACGTGTCCAAGAACTTAATGAAACCATAACCAAAGGGCACTGTTGTTTGTGATATGGCATCTGCAATATCTTGAGGTAGCTGAAAGTCCACCATCTGGTCTGTATGCTTCCAGGAAGTGAACCAACGCAGCTCTCTGTAATTACCATCATTGGCAAGCCACATCTTTGGTCGTATCATGATAATCTTTCTATTCATACAAAGAACTTGGCAATTGTAACGTGCCGATCCATTGATAACAGGCATCCCGAAGCTACATAGTATGCCATCTGTCCAGTCCTCGAGCAAAATTTCTTTCAGACATTCCCATCTGCATGTTAGTCATCAAGTATTACAAGTACTTCCCACTCCAACTCGCACCATTGTATAACATGAGGAAACAGAAAGAAGGGATAAAGCTTTACGTAGCCAGTTAATTTACTAAAAATCCAAACATCATACATATAGACAGGTGCATCAAATCTTTACAATATCTGTATCATGCTAACTAATTCTATCTATACACAAGTAAATGTTACATGCTAAATCCGTCTAAAGTAGTTGCTCCATTGGCTTTTCAAATGTGGAAGTTTCATAAACTTTGACCGAAGTTTTTCTTCTATCATTATTTTATTTTATTTTTTGGTAGGTAAGGAGAAAGCCCAACTCGACCAGAGCCTCGTACAGGTTAACCAACATGACCTCTTGGGAACGAGAGTGAAGTTAGGCCACCCCCAAAGTGCCCCAAATAGAGATTGGTCCCACGACCTTAAGGTTGGTTTTTCTTATATTATATATACTCATATAAGATCTTGTTAAATTGGTTTATAGCATGTATCATCAAATATCAATTTTTAAAATAATTAGTAGTTTATGGCTAAAAATATTTAATGATCACAAGTGTCTTGGCAAATGTGAAAACAATGAGGGAAGTAATTTGAGATTGGAAATGAATGTCTGAAAATACACCCTACAAATGCATAAACACATAACAAATTAACAATTTGCTGACATTGTAGGACAGCATTTCCTACCATAATTTACCAAAGTGTCCAAATGATCCAATTAAACAAGAACTGAGCAACAAAAAAATAATTATAAAAAAAAAATCCAAAATAAATTTAATACATAGTAACCCAATTGTCACCCTAAAACTAGATTAATCAAAGTTAAATTACTGTCAACAAACAATTAATATCAATAAAATAAATAATTAATTAAAATTGAAGAAGAATCTTACGCATGAGAGACAGTATCAAGCTCTAAGAAATGATCTTCGCAGCCATAACCAGTGATTTCGAGCTCAGGACCTAAGCGAATAGTAGCGCCAGCATCTTTAGCCCTAAAAATTGATTCTTTAATGTTCTTCAAATTGCAATCGAAATCCATTGCCCATTGATTTAAATTGCATGTAGCAACTTTGATCAACCTCATTTTTTTTTTCTAATTTCTGCAGAAAGTTGATGTTTAGGTTGAAATTCAACAATTTAATTGTTCGAATTGTGGTGCTGCTGCTGTTATTTGGTGCGGTTATTGCGGCTTGCGGCGTTGGCAGAGGTGGTGTGTGCGGTTCGGTGGTGGTTCTGGGCGAGTGCAGCAGGTGGGTTGTGGGTGTGAAGGTGCTGTGATTAATTGGTGGTGCGGTGGCTTTGGTTGCGGTGAGGACTGAGGAGTGTGCGAGGAGCGGGGGATGGTAATGTTGGTGGTGGCAGGTGGGAAGAGGGTGGTGAGGTGGAGGAGAAAGATTTTTTTTTTTTTAAAAAGAAAAAAAAAATAACTTGCTAAGTAGGTATTAGGTAATAGGTAACAAGGCTCGTTTTGAGAAAATAGAGTTCAATGGTTGGCTCGTTTCCCGAATACGCGAAGGTGTGCTCGTTTTGAGCCGTTCAAGTAAACGTGAGTTTTTTATTTCAATTTTTTCTTTTATTTTTCTATTTACTATTTATATCAATTGAAGTAGTAAGTGAAAATAGGTCTCTTTTTAACTTCTTAGGAAGGAGAGGGGAAATTGTTTGGAAATATTTTTGTAATACTAACTTAGCTTTGTATCGTGCGAGCCTAATTTTGAGTGCTAACTTAGCTTTCTTGAACCAAACCTCTACGAATTTCGCCTTCGTTAAGTAATCTTGAACTATACTTTCATAGGGCCTCTTCCAATTCATAATTAAAAAAAAAAAAAGAGAAAAATTCAAAGGGGGCTGTTGCTGTTTTCTTTCGTGGGCTAGTGGTATCAATGGTGGAAGGATGAGAAGTTATTTATAAGTGACGAAGAGTTGCAGAAAGAAGGCTGAAATTTATTTAGAGGACGAAAACTGTGGATTTCGACTTTCAGTCGTGGGATTGTGGGAAAGATAATGGACCTCTCATCTAATATCCAACACCTCTTTTGTTTTCTTGTCACAGTTGACTTACAAACATTTTTTTTGTTTCCTCCAAATTTTATTATATTGATAGTATGCTACAAGTAGTTTTAAATCACATACTACTACCTTCTCGGTATTAAATATACGAGTAGGACTGAATTAGTTTATTTTTTTGTTTGTTGTAGACGGAGGCCACTAGGTGAACGTTTTGGAGGTTATTTACCTTGAGATTTTACACGCAATTCAAGGTAATTTTCAATGTCCATCATCTTTAGAATCCCGTTAGGAAATTGTTTTGAAATCTTATGTGTCAACTATGTATTTACGTAATTATATGTGATGGATATGTTACCGTATGATATTATGGAATCCTATTATATACTAGTTTTCTATAATTGTGTACTAGTATAGTATTTTCGTAAATTTAATTATTTGTGTCGTATGAGTTTTTTTTTTTATATAATTATAATCTTGGGAATTGGATGATTGATTATATGTGATTGATGGTCTCCAAATCCTATTGGGAAACGAGTTGTAACTAGTATGTCTTGTAAAATGACTCTGTTTTTAAAGTACAGAAACTAAGATATTGTTACTTGGGACTAAATTGATTTGTGCAATACTCGTGTGCAATGTGATCGGACAATTTAATCTATTAAATTGTGCATTAAATTAAGAAGGGAAATGAAACCCGAAAGGGTGAAGAACAGGTTGCCCACTAGTGGTTATGGTTGCTACTAGTTGGTTAAATTAACGTATATTGTTGTTTAGTCTTCCTCCTAATCAATGGGTATTAGTGAGGGGTGTGCACACTAGGGACATTCTGTTTAATTTATGGCCATTTGGGGTTACGCGCGACCCTCTGTAAAGTAGGTGGTGACAGGGACTAGTCCCGGCTTACTGACGCTCTCTTTTCCTTTCTTAATTAAAGTAATAAATTTTATGTGACAACTTGATTTTTTTTCTTTACTTATTATTATGGTGTCGATAAAAGTGTATTGGGTAAAATGTTTTCGAACTAAAATTATTATTTTACGGGATGGAGTTGGAATTACTCAGTTTATCTGATTTTGGGAGTTTTCTCTTTTTTCTTGTTTCTGATTTATTTTACAGGTTGGTAAAAGGTACTCGGTTACGTGTGAGGAGACGTTAGAATAATCACGTAGCTAAGACTTTTTTTTTTTAGTTAACTCTGAATTTAGTTATTTTCCTTTCATTTAATGTTTTAAAATGTTTTACAGTGATGTAACGACTATTTTATTCTTGTCGCCACTTAGATCACTTAGTTATAAATGGTATTTCGTTTTGCTTTGCATTTATTTTCTATGAAAAATAAGTGTAGCAGTAACACTCCCAAGGTTCGATGGTCGGTTTTGAAAGAAAAGGGTTACTCTTATTGTTTACAATGACCCGAATTTTGGGGGTGTTACAATTTTATTTTATTTTTGACAGGAAGAATGAATATTATCATTAATAAATAGTCATACTCCATCTACAATAATAATAAAGATTTGTAAACTACAAATCTAGAGAAAATAATATAACTTTTACAATCAAAATCATAACTATTTTGCATATCGGGCATAGCTCACACTCCACCGCTTCAAACTTGACGCAAGCAGTGATTTTCGATGTATTTGCATCTTTCCAAGTAGAGACCTTCGTAATCTATGCTGATGTGTTTGATCGTAGAGTTGATGACGAACCCTAAACCCATATGAATCCAAATCACCTTCTCAATTATTATTAAAACCCTAAAAATAAAATTCTCATTCATAGATAAGAATCAAAATCCCAGAAAATTGGGAAAACCCCAAAAAAATTGGGACAGAGTCTCACAAATGGAGAGAACAAAACAAAGCAAAACCAATCAAATAAGAAATAAGCAAATAAAATCAAAGAAAAAAGGTCGATAATAGTCATATTTCCGAAGAAATTAGACTATTTCCGGCCTAAATGGCCAAGAAAATTAAAACCTTAAAGAGAGTGAGAAGAGAGAAGAGAAATTGTTTGGAAACATTAGTATTATGGTAAGGTATAAAGTGATAAAAGTGGTAATCTCTTTACCATGAAAGAAATAAAGCAAAAACAGGAAGATAAAAATGGTCAAAGCAAAAGTAGGAAGATTAAAAAAAAATAAAAAAAAATTACGGAGAGAATACTTAGAGCAACTCCAATAGTTTAATTGTAAAGACTTGCTTGCAATATAAATAAAATGACTAGACATGCTTACCATTGGTGAACAAATGAATGAACAACTTGCAAGCTACTATACCCCAAACAAGCTAGACACTTGATTAGAAAAGAGATAAGCAAACTCCACTCATATTGTGACATGTGTACAACTATTAATATTTTTTTATATATATTTTAGTTTTTGCAAATTACAAAATGTTGTACTTCACCATTGAAACACTTTATAGCCAAAATGTGTTGTAGCTTAAAAATTGATGTGGCAAAACAAGGCCAGCTTTACAATTAAATATACAAAACATTATATTGATGAAATAGTTTTATAATGTTTTTATTGAATTCACAAATATTGTTCATTTGTCTTAAAATAAACAAACATCTCAAATGTTAGTTTGGTTTGTCATTCAAAATTTCTGATCTAATTAACCGTTACCAATTTTAATACTATATGTGTAATTAACTATATAAGTATAGCTTAGATTGTATTTTTTCAAATTTTTTCTATTCAAATACTCCCTCCATTTTTAAATACTTTCTCCACTTTCCATTTGCGGTCGTTTTTAATTACTTGCTCCATTTCCTTATTTAGAAAACTTTTACAATATTTAAGTCATTTTTCTCAACTAAGAGATGACAGGCGGTATTTTAGGTCGTTACTAAGACACCTCTATCAAATGATATTTGTAGTCCTAAACATGCAACTAAAAGAGTATAGAGGCAAGTTAAGGGTCGAACACAGGGAAACGATTAAGCACCGCTATTTATCTCCTAATGTTAATCAAATTCGATCAAGAAGTATGGTGGGTAAAGTAATGACTAAAGGGGATAGAATAACAATTAAAACAAGCACTAGGGGGAAGGATCAAACATGCTATGAATTCGACGAAGTTAGGCATCGGAAAATAGGTTTACATGTAACCCAAGCAACTCATACAGGGCAATATCAAGAATACTCTCTAATCACCTATCGGGATTAAGAGCTTTCCTAGCTAGCATACACTTACACTATCGTCGTAAGGCATACAAGCTAAGGTCATGCAATAATCAATCACCTAATGAATATTCCTAAGTCGCACTATCGTCACGATTTAGTTCAAGTCATTCAACCACAACATGCATATGGCCATAAACATGAAGTGGCTAATAAGTATAAGCACAAGGAAGATTTAATCACAAATATTCCAAATTAAGCTAGCCTAGCATACATCAAACTCAAAGCATATCTTCACCAAACCCCTAGCAACAAGAAACTACTCACTAGTCATAACTACAACTACAATCATACTAAGCAACATTATAACCAATGAAATAGTAAGAAAGACAAAATTTTTATCAACTAAACTAACAAAGGTAGAAACTTTAATCATAAAAACAAGAGAAAATAGAGAAATATACCAAAACCTTCATTGAAATCCAAATAAAGAGCCATACATTATTCAATCTCCAAGTTTGACCATACATCAATGTTGCAAAAATACTTCTTCAAAAACTAAGAGTAAAACTAATGTTGATGGACAATGAAATTACACTAAAAACTATCAAGATTGTTCAATACAAAAGTGGCTAAAACAAAAACCTAGAAAAATTCCTTAAAAGCTCTCCTCTAAGGTTTCTATGCTAAAATTATCCCTATGATAGAATGTTGTCCAAAGTTAGCCGTTTTTGCCTCCTTTTTGTTGATTGGACTGAATTCGGGATTTGAATCAGCAGCAGATAGGCGCGCCCGCGCCCAACAAGGCGCGGGGCACGACCGCTCCTCGAAATGTGCGCCCGCGCTTTTAGGTGGCGCGCTCGCTCCTCTGGTGGCGCGCCCGCGCCATTTGTCTGGTCTGGATTTCTTCCCGTTTTGCCCTTGTTCCTTCCATCTTCGAATCAACGACGTACACCTACAATCATGGAATAGGAAGGCAAAGCGTAATACAACGAAAGGGAAGGGGAGTATAGACTACCTAAACCACATGAATACACATTACGCATCACAAAGGTAGAATACTCGAACTAGGCGAATCATAGCAAAAACATACTAAAATGGACCGAATTATTACTGTAACTACTAGAAAAGACTATCCTAAGAGCGACATAAATGTCACTCATCAAGAGACCCAACATAAATTATATTTTTATTATGTCATTTTACAATATTTAAGTCATATTCTCTCTTTTCCAACTCTCTCACATACTTTTGCTTTTTACAATTTTTTATTCTTCCACCTACCCCACTACCTTCATATTTTATTACTTTCTCCAATTTCTCCTAAAACTTCGCGCATGAAGAAATGAAGCAAGTATTTTTTTGAAAACGGAGGGAGTATACAATAATACTTAGGGGTGAGCAAAGATCCAAGGTACCCGGTACCGGACCCGGAACCGATTAGGACCCGTCGGGTCCGGACCCAGAACTGGTCTCACTGGTTCCGGGACCTGGTCCAAAATTTCGGACCCGGTTGTAACCGATTCCGGTTCCAAATCCTAAAATTTTGGATCCGGTACCCACTGGGTACCCGGTTGTATATGATATAGTATGTGAATTGTTTGTGTTTTTAAGAAACTAAAGAGTTATGTACAACCCATTTTAATTTCTAAGCCCAATTGCTTATAAAACTCTCAACCCACTATCAAACAAAATCCTAAAACTTCTAGATTTTTCTCTCGCTCTACTATACCGGTTACCCAACATATATTGCATAAAATATATTTAAAAAAACAAAAATATGTTGAATGTAACTAATTAGTAAAATAAAAAAAAAATATTAATATTTAATATAATTAAAATAGCTTAATGTAAATAAAAATATAAGTATTAAACGCTAAAAGTAAAAATAAACCAAAAAAAATATTATGATTTGTAGTATATTTCAACACTTATATATATAAGTGGGTACCCGAAATCGGAACCGGGACCCGGTGGAACCAATTCCAATTTCTAAATTTTAGGACCCGGTCCCAACCAATTCCGGGTCCGGATCCTAAAATTTTGACCGGGTACCCGGTTTGCTCACCCCTAATAATACTTCTAACTATTTTATACAACACGAGCTTCACCTTCATACCCACTGCCATACTAGACACTTTTACTGATTGGCGCGAAGCTTTTTTAAAACCAAAAAAAAAAAAAAGGAAAATTTGTCAAAAAAAAGTCAACCTTTGCACCATTAGCTCAAAATAATCCAACCGTTTGATTAACTATTATTAAGTCAGCCTTTAAATATATCTTCCTATAATGAGATATGATCGAATAGTTATGGAGGTAATCTGATGTTTAGGTTAACTATGCCTTATGTCCAATATAATTGGTTCTTTTTAATTTTTTCTTAAAATTCTTTTTAATTATTTTTAAAACAAACATCCTCTCCTTCCCTAGTTAAACACCCCCGCGCAGACCACAACACACATGCCTCTCCACCACCGTCGGCTCCTATGTCGCTAGCTATGCCCTATGCTGACATCAACTCAAGCTCGAGCACTGTACCGCCAATCCATTTCCCTCTCTCTGATCCCCTCCTACCACCACCTCCACTCGACAGCTCCTCCCCTCTCATTTTTTTTAACGAATTTCTGGGTGGGGTTTTTTTTCAATTGGGTGCGGGGTTTTTCGGGGTGGGATTTAATAGTTGGCTTATTTTAAGCAAATCGCACAAAAGTTAACTTATTCTTGACAAATTTTCCAAAAAAAAAAAAAACAAAAAACGATACTTGTGCAGAATCAATAAGATGAAAACGACAGGATTGAACAAGAGAGACGGAGAGGGGGGGACTCAGGATTAAAAAATAAAATCTCATTTCAAAAAAGAATATACTATGTATAAACTTAAGAATACAACTAGTACAATTTCCACCCTTGCTGTAAAATGTGGAAGTTGTATAATTTAGCAAAACTGTGAGCTTTCGGAACCCCTGGGGGTTTGATCTTCTTCAGATAAATATGCTGGGCAGAGAGTTTGTACCATGTAAATCCGATCCTTGCATCACACCCCTTGCATCAATTCAGGAAGATATGTACTACTTTCTAATTTCCAAGTGCCCTGCATCAAATGATACAACTTGCTATTTAGCTTCATCATAGGTGTCAGACTCCATATCAAGCTCCTGCTCCATTACTTAGCTCGAGGGTCATCTTAATATTCATAGCGGCCAGTTCTGCTGCTAGATATCTAAAAACATAAGGCATAGCGACTGTTTCCATTCCTTTGCTGGTCTGACAAGAATGGCAAAAAACCTTTCTGGGAGCCCTTGCAGGAGGTAGCCCATTAATTTTTTGCACCACCTGCTTGTGTGGTTCGATAATAGTTGCAGAGAGGATGCTTCCACAAAGAGAGCACACATCAGCAACATGATAATCTGAGCTTTTATGTAGCCTGTCATGCAGTAAATAAGCAGCACCATGGGCAAGCATCGCATCCCTCTCCATTTCTCCAAACCGAACACCTCCACCAAGCTTTCTACCTTTTATAGGCTGTCGTGTTATCGGATCCACTGTTCCAGTTGAACGAACCTGTGAAGTGAGAAGAAAGGGAAAAGGTGATTAACTTAACAAACACGTCATGGTCACGTAAACTTTGTGCCCAAGGATAATAAAAAGTGGAAGTCACACATTTCAGGCATAATTTCTGACTATCTTCTTCTGGGTAAGACTGGTTTGCAGTACAATTGAGGCCCCACCAAGGATAGAGTCAATATTGGGTTGTCAAAGTTGGTTGGGTGTGTCATTTCCTTGTCTATGTGAGTGGATGCATCCTTAAAACCAGCAACAGATTCCGGTTACAGAAGTAAAAATCTCACATCTCAACTCATCAATAATAAATGATGACAGGTCACATGAGCAGGAACAGGGCATTTTTGGTTTAAATTAGTTGCAAGTTCAAAAATGCAGCATAGCTGAACGTATGCATGAAACAAAAACACTACTACGAAATTTTCTAAAACTGTAGTCTGTACATACCAGAATGCAAGAATCACAAGGACTTTCACAAAAAAAACCCAAAACAGAAAAAAAAAATATATAACTTTAACATGCAAGCATGCACAGCTTATTTTGCTGAAATGGTTTCCATGTGGTTCACTATTATATTCTTAACTATCATATATTGACAAGTATACTACTATTCTAATCTGAAAGAGGAAGCCTTCTCAAAATGAGTCTACTATAGAAGCTTTCAGTGTAGACCGGGAATTTCATTCAAGCTCCCGCCCCTACTTTAGGTATATTGGATTATAATAGCTTTGTTTGGATGCTAAAACACAAAGAAAAAGGCAGCACAAAGGAAAGGACGAGAGAAATGGACACCCAGGCTTGGGAAACTTCCACTTTGCTGGCGGGAATTTCTGCTTTGTTGCTGGCTGGCTTCCAGTAGTTGACTATTGAAGAGCCTGTTGAAGGATCCAGCCCAACAAGGTTGTCGAAAGTCTTAGAGGAATTCCTGGGCCACTTTTAGTTTGGAAGTTGGCAGACTGAGATAGTGGAGTCAGCAACAGAAAAATCCCAGCACAAGTCAGGGACCATCCAGAAAATTCACATTAGAAAAATGCTTATAAAGGCGTGAACAGCTGAAGAACTGGAGCCCAGCAGAGTTAAGTACTTTTGATTTAGCTTCTTCACGATATTCTTCCCAAACACAAGGCACATTTGCCAATCTATGATAATATAACCTAAGCCTGTGCATTTTTCACATTTGATGCTAGTTCCCTACCTATAAATAACTGTGATGCCTTCTACGAGAAAAGCAAGAAAATTGCAGGGTGCAATAGTTGGAGAAAGAAAGTGAACATGAAAAACTGAAGTGTACATCTCAACAAAAAAAAAAGAATGTGCGACAGTCGACAGACATACCTGGAATTTGTCTGAAACCATGTGCCGCAACCTTTGATAATAAACAGGCCCAATAAAGATCTCACACGTTAGTTCTGTTCCAAAAACTCCACTATACAATACTTCAGTACCAAATCTATCAAATCCTTGAGCCGTTAACATGGTTCCAAGTTCATCAACAAGTGAACTTGATTCGGATCCATGCTCTCCATTAGCTTTCTTGAGTGAGTCTTCAAATGGTGTTGAATCAACAAACTTACCGTGCAAGCTGCCACCCTGTAAAAATAAAAGAGAACAAAACATTAGGTGTCAAGTGTCAACTGCCAACATCACAACTGCAGTCAAGAACACAACAACAAATACTGTTTGCCCCACAATCAGAAAGCACTCAATTATCACTTGTATGTATCAAGCATAAATCAAAAGCCAATTTTCCCCTTTGAATTAAGATCAGAAACAAAACTATTCATAAACAATCCCAAAAGATCAGGGGGAAAAAAAAAAAAAAAAAAACTCTTATCAATTTTGTGATCATGGACAGTGTACCCAAATTAACATAGTGAATATAAAAAGAACCCTAAAAGGGAGAGTAGCAAGCTTTAGCTAACTAGATGGAGCCAGAGTAGAATCAACGTCTCAGGAAAGCTATAATCATGTTGTGGCCTGCAGGCTATCTACCATACCTCAGAACAAATTGGAAGTTGGAAATCAGAAGGCTAACACAGCAGTAGAAAACCAACAAAATATAAACTGACTTGCTGTTTACCTTAGCAGCAATGGATTCTAAAAGCATTGCAATTGTCATCCTTGAAGGAAATGCATGCGGATTGATGATAAGATCGGGGCGCATCCCAGTACTATGAGAAAATGGCATATCAATATCTGGCCACAACCGAGAGCAAACACCTTTTTGCCCATGCCTGCTACTAAATTTGTCCCCGATAATAGGATTCCTTGGACGTCGAAACCGAATATTAGCCTGAGAACCAAAGAAAGAATCCATAATCTTTTCAGCTGTCACCAAGGCATGTAAAAACCATTAAACAGTCAAACCGAGAACGCAATATGAGAAACAGGAATACTCCTTTATCCCTGATTTTTTAACACTTCTAATTTTCTGCTATCCAAAGTATTTTTTCATACTTCTATGTTTATAACACTAACCCCTTTTGTCTCTCCATCCCTTCATTTTCTAATAAGTTTCTCTCTCTATCCAGTATCCACTTCCAAATATTTATTCTATTATTGGCACTCTTAATCTCAAACCCAAACTCATGTAGACAGATAGGCTTAACTTGAAAATCTCTAATAGTAGGGTACGAAAACAAAGTTACCTTATTCTTTTTAATATAGGTGGAAAATATATACAAAAATTAAATAATATATATTTTATATTAATCATTCCTGGGAGTCCATATCCCAAATTTGGACACTTACATTATATTATCATATGAAACAATCCCCCCCCCCCCTCTCTCTCTCTCTCTCTCTCTACTCTTCAACACACCCATCCATTTGAAAATAAGGCTATGGTTTTGTTGTTGTATACCAGTACACATTATACTGCTAACAATAAACAAAATAATACTCTTATTAGCAAGAAAGTGATGTCCCCACTCCATACTCTTCAAAACAATATCCTATGGATGGACTCTTGGTTACATTTAAACTACCCATGTTAGGAAAGTACCCGTAAATTTTGAGTAACATAGGGAAAATGGTTGGGTCCTCTAGCCATATACCTTGGGCGGATACAAAAAACTGAGTCACACAACAAAGAACACACTATACTTGAATACAAACAAGGCATATCAATGTTGTATTATGTGGTGCATAATACAACATTGGTATTTGCAGTTCGTTATCTCAATCAAAGACATCGCCATTTAAAGGACACAAAGTACCTTTTGAAGTTCTTTTTTATTCTTTCCATCAATGCCTACATAATCAACCACAGACGTCTCTGAACTCTTCAATTTGTGAGTAAATACTGTGCCACTTGTGCTATTGTACACACTGCAGTATGGCTGACCAGGATGTATTACCTGAATGCAAGTAAATTGTTAGCTTCCATATGAATCATGAAAACCTTGTAAAAGACTAAAAGGGCAAGGTTAATGCAAATAAAACACAAAACAACCTGCCCAACGTAGGGAAGTCCATCCATATCAATCAACGAATGTGCTGATTGATCAACAGTACTTCTTTGAAAAGTTTTGCTGGAACGATCAGATCTGCTGCCGTCTTCAGTCAAATCAATAGTTTCTGTCTGCCACACCAATCAGATGAGCAGATGCAAAATAAAAAGGAATTAAGAAAGTGAACAGAATTAATATTTTTAGTTGACTGGAAAATATGCTAAATGATTTCCTCATGACCAATATCTCTACTGGTTATTGAGCTGGGAACATATATTCTAAATAAATTTTTTTTATAGGTAAATAAGATCTAGTGTTAAAGGGCCCTGCCAAGGCTCAAATAAGATCTACAGCATGGCAATAAGGCTACAACCAGAGGCCCTGGCATAGTGGCATATATAGTTTCATCCAGTACCCTTTGCAGACTAAGGGTACTCCTAAACAATGGCTTTAACAACAAGGACAATTAAACATGTTAATTCATTGTTGTAATATGAACTAGCCAGACCAATGACATAGATACAATCATACAAGCACAAGTAACTTGTATCTGACCCTCCCTGTGACTATAAAATTAGCTATCAAAAGGGACCAGATATACATACTTCTAGCCATTACTCACTATGGGCATCCTGGGCAGGATCAAGTCGTCATCAAGAACATCAGGCAAAAGAGATGGGTTTTTTTAAAACCAGCTATGCCCTTTTCAGCAAGTTTGCTCATGTGACTTCAAGGAGCAAGGAGAAGATGTTCAGGACAATCCTTTCTAGACTTGAAGGAGTCACTTATAATAGCATTCCTTCAAAATCGACTGTACAATACTATCCTTAATATACTTGACTGCTCACAACATAATTAGTATATCTTCAGAATTGAACAAGTATTGCTAACAGATATTAACAGTAGAATAAGGCTTAAAAAGAGGTAGGGGGGATTTAAAAGAAACCTGATATATCTGAGCATGACACATCCCACGATCAACAGATGATTTGTTCAAAATCATGGCATCTTCCATATCATATCTGGAGAAAGAAAGGACATGAGTTAATGTGGATATGGAACATCAAGATACATTTCAACATATATTTATTTGTTAGGGGTACCCAGTATAAGACAGAACTGCTACTATTGCATTGGTCCCAGAAGGATATTCATCGATGCAATACTTGGTGTAGGAACCTGTGCGCACAATCGGACTTTGAGGAGTCTGCAAAGACCCAAGTAATTTATTTATTGTGGAAACAAAAGGAGAACAAAATAAGCCAAAATAAAGATCAAGCTGAGAGCTTATTTACTCAAAGGTTGAAGAAAACAAAACAATTACTGCATAAATAAATTATAGTCACAATGCTCTAACCCTTCAAAACTAAAGATATGATATGGTCGCATTCAAATTAGAGCCCATATAAACTAAAGATATGATATGGTCGCATTCAAATTAGAGCCCATATAAACCATAAAGCAACAGTGTTATAGAAAAGATGAGAGCTTTTACAGGACAACCCAGTATAGTATGAGTATTATCTACCAAGGGTACCATTAAAATATATTTAAGATAACAAAATTAAGAACAATAAAAATAAGTTATGCTTCAAAATTATTGAATCATTTTGCTGAACATACACCTACTTTTATGCAAAGAGAACTTCAATTCAACAAATCAAACTTCAAATGCAAAGCTTCTTTCTCAAACAAATTCCTCAACAACCTCCAAACATTGGATTAACGAACATCCATAACAGAAGCTTCTGTAAGATGAGAAAGGGGAGAAGTAGTCTTGACCCTTCGCTTCCATTTAAGTAATTTGGAGCACCATTTCAGAGAGAGAGAGAGAGAAAAAAAACAAAGTTTATAATATACTCCTTTGCTTCCATTTGAGTAATTTGGAGCACCATTGCAAGGAAACAATAAGCTCTTTCAGCATTCTACTCTAATCTAACTTTTTGGAATATGGATGGGAGTGAAGAAGCTGATCTCATAGAGCTCACAAGTTATCCACAGAAGTATCAAGCTTACATTTTAACAGATTTTACTTTCTATACAAATAATAACATATTCTCTAATGTATTAAGCTTTACTGAAGCAGTAAATTCATCAGAATGTAACAAGCCATTGACCGCAATTGATCTAAAGAAGCTTCAGTATATGATATGAAACAAGCACAAAACAGCCATAAAAAAAGGAATAATGCAGTACAAAACACACATCTGCAAACATAACATTAAATGTAATAAAATACAACAAATCTTGTCCTCTAGCTGTATTCCTCTTTTAAATCTTTAAAAAACCGTTCTTCAGAGGAAAAAAGTAAAATACAACATACCTGAAGATGATATGCCTTTTGATCTGTACGAAACTTAATTGCTTGAGACGAAAAGGCCATAGTTTGTTTTGCCATCTAAAGTTAAGTAATGTTGAGAAAAATAAGCATATAAGTTACTAAAAGAATAGCAAGTAGCGGAAGGGATCAAACAAATATTTTAGGACAAACCTGGCATTGATACATATTACGTGGACTCTGATTGTGATTAGACCATGGCGTAAGATTAGCAATAACACTTAATATCCCTGTAGGATGTATTTCCTCATGAGTTGCAGGAAAATTTTCTCGTCTCCCTTGATCTCCACCATCAGGACATTGAATTTCCATGTATACCTTAAAAAATGAAGGAAACATATAAAGAACTGCTGTAAGCAGCATATATGATGCAACAGCAGAAGAATCACCAAATGCGTTTATATATGCTCCAAGTGGCCGTATGGAAATGTAAATAAACAAGGGAGAAAATTTATCTCTGGCAGTCAGTTGTAACCTCTTTTTCACAAGATGTTACTTTAGAGGTGTGTTTCCCTTTTTTCCCCTTATTTGTCAATAAGTATTTTTCGATTCCCTCTTTTCCCCTTTCGCCCTTATTTTACCCTTCTTTGAAAAGAAAATAACTCAAAAAAGGGGGCAAATAAGAGAAAATTAAAAAAACGATAGTAAGAGGGAGGGGAGGTTAAAGAAACACAAGCCTAAAGACAACACATGAGAAGAATAAGGCCCAAACGACTGTCAGAGCTTTTTGACTTGTCATCCAACATACTTTATATTATGGGAAACAGGTAAATTTAATCAATCTAGCCATTCAGCCATGTAACTGCATAAAAGCAAGTGGATCTAGTGTACAGAGTAAGCCAGTACCTGTTCAAATGGGCCAATTAGTTCAATATCATTACTATCTTCGTAAGGAATAGAGATATTTTTAACTGGACGAATAAACCTAGAAGGATTTGTAAATAAAAATAATCCAGGATAAGCACCACCAAAGCTCAATGGAACATAGCCCACTTCCAGATCACATGGAACCTGCAACATGTGAGCACATAAGATAATGATGCAAACATACTTCAAGTAATAACACAGATGCCCAGAAACAAACCACTGTGGCTGCAGACAGCTTCAATCTCCGCAAGTGTTTGACAACATCCTCAACTTGACCAGACGGTATGGTTCCAATTACTCGCCCATCAAGGAGGACAGAAATAACTTCAGGAGGACCAGCTTGGACAATTTTTGGCAATGATGATTTCATTCCCATCTTCACCAAGACTTTGATGATAGAGGATCTCATTGTGACAAAGTTTTTCATTTCACCTTGATCGTCAAAGAAGGATGTAATTCCTGAATTTAGGTAATAAAACACACGATGCACTTTTTAGATTCTACCATGATAAGAAACTCAGAATAACTCTATAATTACATGAACATTATAGAGCCAATGTAAGCACTTACTACATGTACAGGTCAAATGATTTAGCAATCCACAAGGCCCTCCATCAGGAGTGTGCACAGGACACAAAAAACCCCAAGCCCTGCATGAATTTAAAACTATTAAACAATAAATGAAGAGACCACTTTTGTAGATGAGAAAAAACTTAAGTAAGAAAGCCTACTCAGGAAGCAGCTTCCGCACGGTAGTAGTACGAGCATCAACAAATGCAGCACCTCGATGAACAGCTCGAAAATTCGAAAGAAAACGCAGGAAGTTCAGCCTATCAGCCTGAATAGCAAAGCCAGCTTTCTGAATATGAAAAACATAAAAGGTTAGAAATTTCCAAGGTGGAAAAGTAGCACAAGGAAAAACATTACGGTCACCATATTTCAGTAATTCGAAACAAACTACCTGCACACAAACAAAGTGCTCAACAGACTAGACAACATAAACTAGTGACTCATATATGTTCAAATACATAACTTTTACTATACTCCCACTTCTTTATTCGAGTGTTACACTTACCATAAGCAGTCGTACTTTTATACACTTCCATTTTTGGCAAACTACTACATTTTAATATTATATCTCTCTCATCTCATGGTCCCCATTCAAACCCATGACTACATTTTATTATTTATTTCCTCTCACATCCCTTACTTTTCGGTAAACTACTTAAACCCATGTCATGAACTGAAATTAACTAAATGATCTGAATTTTTTTTATTCTATTGATTTAATAAGAAGAAATAACAAAATGAAAGCTTTAATATTAATCGACAGTGGACAAGGATTATAAAAGTTGGGTTTAATAGCTAAAGGCTATTAATCACAACTCTCCAACAATGGCTTGAGGCCATAACTCTCTCTAGGTTTCCCTAATAAATTTCTGCCTATGCTTTTCTTCCCCCCCCCCCCCCCTCCCTCTCTCTCTCTCTCTCTCTCTCTCTCTCTCTCTTTATACTAAAGCTTAAGACTACTAACCTAATAGTACTAGACTAGACTACCAATACTGACCCTCCTTAGGTTAGTCTATTACACCCCAATATCTTTTCTTATAACTTTTAGTACCCCAATTACATTTTATTATATTAAAGTCAATTAAATTACCTTAAAATATAGCCAGTCAAAGTGTAAACACTAAAAAAACGGAGGGAGTATTTGCTCAATGTGTCCAGATAAAAGATAGTAATGGACTCTTCTCAATAATATAATGTTGACATCTCAAACACCAAGTTCATTATGTGACTTGGAGGTTATCCACAACTTGAAATGAGTTTCACTAAAATATACAGACAACAAAGACAAAATTAATGTATATACATTATTTTATACTCTCATGTAAATCAGCTCCTTTAATCTCATAGGGTTTGTAGAGTTCTTAAGATACATAAAAAAAATAAAATAAATAAATAAATAAAAATATACTGGAACAGGTACCAGATTGTAAAAAGAGAATCAGGATCCAGAATAACCCCAGTTTGCTTAAAACTACCAAATGTAAGAAAGAAATGCTCACTAGGAGCTAAGGGACTTCAAGAAGCATTCCATACAACCATACTATATATGAGCTCAACATCAAGAGTAATCAACAACATTAAATTTCTGAGAGCAATAATTCTGAGCATTTATACCTGCTGCAAGTCCAGACTTGACATTGTTGCCAATCTTCCTGTTTTCAGCAAATTCTCGATAGCAGTTCCAATCTGTGTAGAGGGATTTTTGTTTAACAGCTTCTTGACATCTCCTACTGCATTAGTTCAGAGCACAGGAAACACATAACACATTAATCAATTTCATGCCTGCTTGGCAACGGTAAAAGGATATTTTAACATATAAGCTATTCGAGAGGTTTGGTTGGGAAGGGAAAAAGGAGTAGAAACTTAGCAATTGAGGAAAACATGTTACAAAGAACTTACTAAAATGTTTTCCCCATTTCCATTATTGGCTATAATTTATTCCAGTTATACCCCCATTGGAAAATTTTACAGACAAAATTTTTCTAACCTTTTCCCTAAGAATCTGCCCAAAAATTACTAAAAATTTGCCAGAGACCAGCTTTTTTGACTGATTACCACCCTTATTTAATGCTCTATTAACTGTTGCTTCCAATTATTTTTACCTAAAACCTGCAAATTCATCTCTCAACTTCGTTTCTTTCTCTGTTTCTCTTTCGTCATATCTAGAAACACACGAATTTGCATTCCCGTCATCAATTTTTACAATTGTTTGGAATCATTATTATTTCCACACCAGTCATTACGCATTGGTTCTATCGGCACCTGTTGATGGTTTCATTTTCCGGGTTTTTTTAAAAAAAAGGGGGGGAAGATTTGTTCAAGCATTTGAAGGAAGAAAGGAAAGGGAAGGTGGAGGGAGAAAATGAAAGAGATTGGGATGGGATAGAGGGAAGGAGTAAAGACGATAATCAACAACAAGCAGCCTATACAACCAAATCCTAGCTGACTGTATAATTACTGCCCGAATTCAATTACGCAGTATATGTAATCTTCCTTTTCTGTCATAAACAAAAAAAAAAAAAAACAAAAAAAAAAAAAAAAGACAGGATTCACTTTCTAATTATATGATGTCCCAAATTCCATAATTTCAGTGAAAAACCCCTAACTAGAAAAGTTATAAGGGGCGGAGGGAGTAGTTTTATTCATTCGGAAATAAAAATTATGTTTTAAAAGTAGCACAGAGAGGGGATAACAGTAGAAATAATCAATATATAAACAAAGATGCCCAAACGTATTTCAGTAAACAAAAAGTTATGCAAATGAGGGCTAACTTAACAAGATTTTTGGTAGGAGAGTGTAGGCTTTTTTGGAAAAATTAAGGTGGATAGAGAGAGAATGAGTAGTAGAAGAAAGAGTGGGAATTATTAAAAGATAAGGGTAATTGTGCAGGAAACAAAAAGGTAATAAAAGAAAAAGGAGTCATTTGAAACAAGTTAAATGAATTATTTAATGAGGTGATAAGAAGATAATCTGCGGAGGACAGCACAAAAATTAATAAAGGGAGATAATAGCGAATATCGATAGTAAAAAAGCCTTCAATGAATGCCATCAAGTATCACTCGAAGGATTCAATCACAGTGGTTACTTTCACAGCTAAGTCAGATAATCTCAAAAGGAGAAACAAGCAATATCATTCAATCATCAACATAAGCATTTTTATTATAGGAGACTACAGTATTTATATAAAAGCTTCTTCAAAGACTCAGAGCTAATAAATTCTGAATTCTTAGGGGCTGTTTGGTAGGGGGTTACAAAAAAGGAAGAGGTAACACCCTTAAATCCATTGGATTATGTTTGGTTGATGCTTTTTCGGGATTCCTTTCCATTCACTTGGTTCCTAAGTCCCCCAAAATGCCTCTATTCTGATTCCCCATGGGCCGAATGATTTTCACTAAACCCCCAAACACCTCTACACTATGACCATACCATCCCAGCCTAACTTTACCACAATTTCCATCAACACCCCCACTTCAGGCCTTTATGGCTTTATCAACTTTCAACCACTGGAATCATCATTTACCAACGGTCATCACACCAAAATGGTACCCACTAACATATGACCCACCACCCAATATACGACCCACCACCAATAGCCAACCACCACTCAAATGATGGAACTCTTCCTCCATCTAAACAATTAAGAACAAATGGCAGATCATCACTACACCTATATGATACTTTGTACGCAATATCCAAACAAATAAAGTTTAGGTTAACAATTACGAAACAAATGACAGTTTCATCACTACACCTACATGATACTTTGTACGCAATATCCAAACATATAAAGTTTAGCTTATTAAATGAGGAACGTGGAACTTAATTTGGATATTAAAAGACATTAATATGAAGCAAAGATGCTTTTCCTCTCATATGCATGGATGAATAATAGTAAGGAATAAACTATGATGATTTGTAGATGTCATTAGTCACCAAGCCCAGAAAAGAAAAAGATTACCGAACATCAAAACAAATGAAGAAACAATTAAATAACACAACATTCAAAGAAAAAATAGCTGAAGAGTATGTCATACAGCTGCTGAGATCAAATTTTTCGCCTTTTTGGCTCATTTCATCATTAAGAATCTTCCTTGATCGATAAAGCCATTCCTGTAGTTTATCCTGAAAAGAAACTTAACACTGTAAAGCATAACAAATTATAAAATTAAAAAATGGAAATATGAGTCATTAGCCTATTAGCAGTTTACGATAGTTTTTGGTGACTTGTCCTCTTAGGCTATTAGTGAGAAGTGTGCATATTAATGTTATGTTTCAATAAATTGTTCGGCCACAGTCTGTGTTTAACATTAGATTGACAAACCTTAACCTGGTGAAATAGTGGTTACTGAATCAGTCTCAGGCTTGAAAACTAACTCGCGTGTTGTTGCTAAGTGTGCGTGCAAATGATTTCAATATTAATTTATAGTTTTCGCAGGCTGGAAAATAGGACTTCACCAAGTGTAAGGATGCGCTATTGAATAATTGCTTAGTCATCGGTCATCTTCTGGTAAGATTTTTGGATCTAATTAATTTAGTTTTAAATATTATCTGGTTTGGTTAGTAGTTTAATAATTTCTACGTTTTTTTTAAAATGCAATACTTGGAATTTTACACTATTCACACACACTTGTTTGATCGTTTTTTGTGATTTATATGTTCGAAAAAATATAGTAATGTGGGATCTTGTTAGATTGATCTCGATATATACTTTCAAAATATCAGAATTTTATAATTTTTACTAAAATACTTGTATAATTTAAGATATTAATGTTATAAAATGTGCATTTGCAAGCGTGACAGCTCCAACTTTGCGATTAAAAAGAAGAGAGGAAGAATTTGTTTGGTTTTATACTGTAGATCTTAGTTTCTTCTTTTTGGATTTTAGCTTTATATTGCCATCGTTTTGTTTTTGTTTTTTTCACACTACATTTTTTTTCTCTTTTTCCTCTTTCATTTTTATCAGTTTTCCATTCTTTGTTCCATTTTTTGCAGACAGTTCCTTAGCAGACCCCAAATAACTTTGGGACTAAGGCTTTGTTGCTGCTGCTGTTGTTGCTGTTGTCGTTGATGAATAATCTTAGATTACCAGCTATCCATACATTCATTTTCCAATAAAAATGAATCCGGAGATGATATCATACATGTATGAATTCTCAGTTTTGGCTTTTTCAAGAGTTGGAACAAGCATCAATGTTGCTGAGGCCGGAAATTCAGTGCAAACTACTATCCACCTTGAGGACAAGGTGGAACTTTGGGTGGCCGGTAATGTAATAGACTAGCTTTAGGAGCGGTACTTTAGAAAGTTTAGTATCATTAGGTTATTAGTCTTTAGCCTTAGTATAAATAGAGGGAGAGGGGAAAGGAAGAGGTAGGCAGAAATTTACTAGGGAAACCTAGAGAGAGTCATGGCCTAAAGCCATTTGGAGAGTTGTGAGCTAAACTCACTATTTGAGAGTAATAGCCTTAAGCTATTAACTTATCTTTTGTAACCCTTCCACCATTATCAATCAATCTTAAAGCTTTCATCTTTATTATTGCATTATTAAATCAGAAATATTAAGCCAGTTAATTCGGTTCATCACATGCACATATCTTTTGTAACCCTTCCACCATTATCAATCAATCTTAAAGCTTTCATCTTTATTATTGCATTATTAAATCAGAAATATTAAGCCAGGAAATTCAGTTCATCACATGCACACAAAACAACATGGTTTTGTTCAGAGCAAAATGTAATACCTTCAGATAAATGGACACCAATTCACCAGCTTGCAAAACTTCATGGTTTTGCAACGCATCTGGATTGTCTGGTACAGATGTCTGATCTACCAATGAAAAGAGCTTCTGCAACATGAATCTAAAGCAAATTTCATGTTAACAATGAAAAAGCAGAAAAAAAGAAAGATAGAGAGAGAGATAGATAGACATATGAGAGAATATGAGGCCAACATTAGAAGATTGAACTTGTCGTAGTTATTGGAGCCAAGGTGGACAAATATAAAATCGTCTAGCACAGCGTTTCCAACCTAAAATCAAATAAGACGCAGATGAGAGATGTACAAAACATACAGACAATAATTCGGAGACCACTTATCAAGGAAGAAAATGGAAAACATAAGACTTACAACTAAATAGCCTTCATTTTCTAGCCCATCCATGACAGGTTGGAAGCTCTGTCCTATAATGAATGAACGAAAGAATCAGTTTAGCACGACTAGTCTTAGACATGATTTGATATCAGAATGAACTAATGGCTAAAATATGTTCAAAATGACTATCCAATCCCCACTTCTAAATGTTAGAAATGAATTAAACAATCAACAAAATTAACATGGCCAGACAGCTGAAAATGCAAATGTATCAGAAATTACATCATACCAATATGCTCAAGACATTGGCGACGTGTCAAAAGCGATAATCCATGCAGCTCATCAAGAATAATTTTAGCTCTTTCTCCAATAAGTTGTGTGCCGACAGACCCTTTTACTCCCTCATATTGCTCATTGTAGGAACATGTCAATGCCACATATATTTCATGATCAGTAGCCTCAATAAATGCCTGCCATCAGGTCCCACATGGTTTCAAAAACAAAATATACACAGGAGGCAAAATGGTAAAAGAAGATGACAACTAAAGAGACAACAGATAAAATGAAACCGCGAGAACTAAGACAAGATAAGATGGCATATTAAAGTGCTTATACCAACAAAAATAACAACGCCGTAATCTCCAAAAGATAGGGTCATCTGCTAGTGTGGGAGGGGGGGTTGGGGTAAGGGGAGCATTGGGGGACAGCTGTCCCCCTAACCCACTTTTTTAAAAAAATAAAACATCAGGTTTTTATTGGTAAAACGAGGAAAAGGAAAAAACAAAATTACAGGAGAAATAAAAATCAGAACAGTGAGCGTGAAATCAGCAAACAGAGCGGTGGTTTTAGGTACTTATTGAGGGTGGTGGTGAGATGGGTCGTAGATATAGAGGAATTGTGCGCCAGCGGTGGTGGCAATGGCTGGGGTTTTAGGGACTCTAGATTTTGTGGTGGTTTTGATGATAGAGGTGGGGTGCAGGTGGTGTTTGGTGAGAGTGGGTGGTGGTTATAGTGAAATTATTGGTAGCGTAATGAAGTTGGAGGTTGTTGGGTGAGGTAGATGGGTTAAAGTGTTGAACCGTAAAATGATGAAAGGGGGTTGAAGAGAGAGAAAGAGAAAGTAATTGAGAATATAAACAGGAGGGGACGATTTGATAAATATTGAAGTTTTGATTCGATAACTCTTTTTATCCCGACAAATTTTTCAAGTTTTGATTTAATGACATTGGAATGTCAAGTTGACTTAGTCATGTAAAATATGCAATGATACCGGATTTCAAGTTCGCATGAACTTAATTATCTTTCCATGATGTTTGTTAAAATCAAGACTTATCCTCTTACATATTTGCTTAACAAGTTGATATTGATTCTTCCCATTACTACGGCAAGTGTAAAAAGTATTCTCCGCAATGAAATATGTCAAAAGTAAGTTGTGAAACAGCATGGGTGATCACCTTATGGTCACTTTTATTAAGAAGGATATGTTTATACAAGTTTTTGATGAAGAATTCATTTAATTTGAATTTAATGACAAAGTATTTTGGAGTTGTAAAACTTTAACTATTAAATTATCAATGTGTTAAGGTATTTTTTTTTTACATTTTTGTCAAACTATGCGATATTATTTGTTGTCCTCGTCATAGGTAGCTTTCAAAATCTGACTCGAGGAAGCAATTGTATTTCAATTTTAAACTTGATGTATTTTTTTCATTTATTTTGAATTGTATGAACAAGTATTTTAGAGTTCTAAAACTATAGCTATTAAATTATCAATGTGTTAAGGTATCTTTTTTTACATTTTTGTAAAACTATGCGATTTTATTTGTTCAAACTTCTGGCTCTACCATTGTTGGCTGCCAACCAAGAATTTATCTCTTTGTCCACAAAGATTCTTTCTCCATTCACTTCTATTAAATTATCAATGTGTTAAGGTATCTTTTTTTACATTTTTGTAAAACTATGCGATTTTATTTGTTCAAACTTCTGGCTCTACCATTGTTGGCTGCCAACCAAGATTTTATCTCTTTGTCCACAAAGATTCTTTCTCCATTCACTTCTATGTAATGACATGCTACGCAAGCCCATTATCAACATTTCATTTTTACTCCCTCCAACCAAATCATCATTGGCCCTCCTCAGTTTCTTCTAAGATCCATATAAACCCACCTCTCCCAATTTGCTAAACAATGCATAATGATTCCAAATTAACACTAAAAGTCATTAATACAATATATTATATGTAACCTTTAGAAGAATGCCCACAGGAAGCAAGAATTCTTTCCCTTGAATCCTACACAGCATAAACAAATTAATCTTAATTTAGTTCCAGCAAAAACTGATAATCAACATACTTCAATTTAATAAAAGTAATCAGATCTCACCCAAATCCAAGTCTAGCACTTCCATTATTGAGATAATACAGTCTCACAGTAAGAGCAGACTGGTCTTCTCGAACACATCTACAAGTGGGTAACAACAAACATGAGCATTTTCTAAACAAACCAAAAGAAATTACAGAATTACTTTAGCAACATGGCAAAACAGCATCCATAACTGAAATTGGAATATAGTGGGAAGCTAATGCAATGAAATGAAAGCAAACAAAACTGAAATATGGCAACATGTGAAAGATCTGGATCTAATAGGCAAAAAAAATGTCTAAGGAAGTGAAGGGGATAAATAGTCTGGTGGAAACTCACCCCTACCCTTGTGTCATCCAAATAACAGAGTAATTAATTCTCTTACACGACCCTATTCTCCCATAGGGCCCTTCCGTCTTTCTACCCCCTTCTCCAGGGAAATGTTTACCAATTAAATCTTTTAATACAGACAACAACCTATACCTAGCAAAGGGTAAGAAAGCATCCCTTAAATCAACCCCAACCATATGACACCTCACACTGGCAAGCTTTCCACTTAGGTTAACCATGCCAAAACGACCAAGAATATATCTAGCACCAGGATAGTGGCCAATAAGGCAATAACTACATAATCTGAGGTCTTAGATGAATAGTCTTGATCACTGGCCATTATTTTGTGGCCACGCCTCTAATAGAAAATGGTTTTGAAGAGTGAAAATCTCATTGCGGTTAGAGGTACAAGGAGAGTCCCTTTTTATGGCGTTTTTCTTCTAGATCTACATACAGATTAAGCTTCATTTTTTTCTTTGACTTTCCCGATCTGTTAACAACAGGAATCATAAAGATTCCTTTAATGGCCACTGTTTTCTGAGGTCTTAGGTGATTCATCTGGATAGATACCACACATATGTGGCCAGAAACACCTTCAATTTCCAAGGTTTCAGAAGCTTCTTTACCATTTCGTCGTCATGATTTAATCTTAGATATTGGCGCTAACTCTCTTCAGTGCATTCTTCAAAGTTATTTTCTCTTCGCTCTCCTTTTGAGCTTTCATCTAATTCTGAATTTTCCATGTTAAAGCTAGGATCTCATTATGAATGAAGTCCATAACAACACAAGGTCTTTTGATTACCACTGATTTGACTCTCTGTTGTTGTTTTACCACACTCTTCTGGCAAGAATTTTTTTCCCAATACACAGAGAATGGCAAGGTTAATCAAATTTCAATCAGAGCTGGATATCAACTGGTGATTACTTAACTGCATATGTACTCAATGTGATGGCTTCTGGGAAGGGTCTTCAAACATAGGTAATGCCATAGCAGTAGGGCACTGGCTCACACAGCTAATAGTGATTGGATTTTGGTATGTTGACTGGGTCAGTGGATGGCACAACAGATTCTTTGGGACAGATTGATTACAGCATGTTCATGGAGCGATAATTCAAACCTTACATCTGACGACCGAAATAAAACTAGATTGAATTTAGAAAACAGATGAGTGTAGTTTTGAGTATCTATGTTTTTTGAGTTAGAAATTTACATAGAACCCTAATTAGTAAATGATCTGATCTACATGACAAGTTTGCAAACATCCACCGCTTAACAAAACAACTGAACAAAAATGATTGAAAAGAGTTGTAGATAAAAGTCATAAAACCTTATGGCAACTGCCTTATCACTATAACCTTCTCTACGAGCACGAAATGAACCTCGAACCATGCTCATCGGCTGAAATACAAAAGAAAAAGTCAGCCAGTCTATGTGGATGAAAGTCAGCATAAAAATTATGAGAATATAAACAGTATAAAGATCCGTCACGGTAGTCAGTCTAGTTAACAATAACTCCAGCAACAATCAGGATTACAGTAATCTAATTGAGTTCATCATTGCTTTGCACGACTAATTTTTAAGACTGGTAGCATAAGCAAATAGATCGATTAGTCATAATCATAATACATCTCTTCAAAAGCAATTCATACATAAAGAATGAAAATATCAACAAACATATAGCAAGGGGCGTATCGAATTAGCACAGGAGACATTGTTCACTCACATAGTTCCGTTTTTGCATTATTAGTAGTCGAATGATCCTCTCAATCCCATTTAAGATGAAATACCTGCACATATAGTTCTAAGAGTTAACAAGGCCAGAGAACTTTAGTGATAACAACAATCTTAAGTGCAATTCAAATTAATATAGCAATAGCATCACCACTGGAAAGAACCAGGGATACTCACCCACCTAGCAATTCAAATTAATATAAGAAATGATGTTGCTAGAGTTAGCAATTCAAATTATTATAGCAATAGCATCACCAATGGAGCTATACCTAGGGTCTAACTAGGTGCAGTAATGTTTATCTTAAAATCTACGAGTATTTTTCCATTTAATTGAAATCAAGCTCCCTATTATTCATATTGATGGTTGATAGTAGAAGTAACAGTATTGACTGTCAAAACTCACAAGATTAATCTTAGTCATGTGATGGTGGAGGACATTTCGACCCTTATTAACAAGTATGTACTACAAAGGTTCTAAATCATATTATAATGCCTATAAGCCCTTGTCCCATATATTTCTTTAAGAAATTGAAGTATCTCCAATACAAGTGGTAAAGAGTTTTAGGCAAGAGGATTAACTTCAAAACATCAGCATCAGCTCCTTGGTCTCTTGAGAATTATAAATTCAAATTCAACAGCTTTTCAGTGAGCATCAATAATGTCTTACCAGCATGGCTTACAAGAGGCAATATGTTGAGAGTTGACACAAATTGCCACACACTATTAACATAAATAACATAATGCTAACATCTTTTTCAATTGAAAAAAAAATAAAATAAAATAAAAATGAAAAATAAAAAATAAAAAAAATTCATGTAAACACAAGTTTGAACCAGCACATAGAACCAGGGATACTCACCCACCCATCTCTGCTGCCTCCTCTCTGTTAGAAACCAATTTCCGAGCAGACGCATTTCTGAGATGGCAGATCTTGGACTATTAGAAAACAGAAAAGAAAACCATCAGATCTCAGAGCATTATCTTAAACTTGAAGAGTCTATCACAATAAAATTAAAAATAAACATATAAACAAATTCAGTTGTACTTGAATGATCATTATAAACAAATTCAGTTGTACTGAATGATCAAGCATTGTTGGTGACTCAATCAAGCAGTGTTGGTGACTCAATCAAGGAGTGCTGGTGTAATTAATGAGAACAGAATTTTATTTTATTTTCATTAAGAAAATGAAGGTGTGGCACCAAGGGCCAGAAGGCCTCTCAAAAGACACTAAGAATACACAAAGGAATATAAAACAAATTGAACATTGCTAAAGCAACCTTACAAAAGGCCCCAGAAACCAAAGTGAAGCAAGGAAACCAACCAGCCCATTTTAAAACATGATCTTGGACATGCTACAGAATATTCTCCCATCCCTCTCAAACTGTAACAGCCACAAATTAGTTGAAAGGAACATAGCTACAGAAGCCCTTAGTCCCTCCAAAGCCAATATATTTGATAGAAGCTATCATATGACTCATACCCACCCCCTTATTGTGAAATTGAGTGTCGTCAATCCGAAAGTTACGCTGATTGATAGAATTAGTGTTAGTTTCCATAATTAGGACTAGTCAGTTAAGACTTCCTAGTTAAGATAAATTCTATTTAATATATAATTAGATTTATTGTTAGTAATTATTTTTATCTTTTAGTTTTGTTTATCCTATTGGGCATTGAATTGTATGCCTATAAATAGTATTATTTTCTTTAATGAAATTATGTTATTGAGTTTAAGAAAATCTGAAATTTTGAGTTAGTTCGAGTTAATCAAATTGATTTTTAATCGTTATTTTTTCTCTTGTTTAAGTCGAAAAGATCAAAACTTTATTGAATTACGTTTATCCATAACAGCTAGTCCAAACGTGGTTTAATACACATCACACCTCACATGTCTATGCCAAAAGAAAGTGTCAATTTCACAGCACAAGAACATGTATTTTCCTATCTGCAGCTCTGTTGCATGCCACAGGCTGACATAGATGCATTAGACTTGTAGCCTTGTAGGATAGCAATTACTCGTTGGTGACAAGTCTAATAGTCATCCAGAAAAAAAGGATTCACTGATCCTCTTTCTCTCACCCACGATTCTAGATCTAAGGACATGAAATGGGGCAATAATAAATATATGTAGCCTAAAATTGCAGGTAAAGTTAGATTTTGTGTTGGAAAATATGAGGTGCTACTGTCAGTGGCTAAGTAAGCTAATGGTGGAAGTGGTTGGATAAGCAAGGTGCTGATGAAGATATTCTCATAATCTGATCTAATCTAAATAAAACTAACTACTCTTGAGGGTTGAAACCATGAAAACCTTACACCTAAAGATGTGCTTCATCTCTCACAACTAAGACCAAAAGAAATGAATTTCATGATTCCATTTACACTCCTAAAGCTCAATGATCAGCTTTAGCATGGTTTTGGCAAGAAAAATCTAAGTTACTCCTTAAGTCCCTATGGATTTCCAATCATCAAAAACATAAAATGTACGTTAGATTTAACATAAAAATATAAGCATAAGAGCCTTAGTTTTCTCTTAAAGTTCATTCGTAAGATTCTTAGACCTTAACAAATGGATGTTTCCACAATTTTGCAATAGTAAACATTAGCTCTCTCTCTCTCTCTCCAAAACAACCAACAAACAACAAACAAGCAACCATACTTAAACCATATCGAACCAAGCAGATGGATTTTTTCATCCGGTACCTGACTTTCTATACTTACTGGCCCTATATCTCGCATTCAAAACTGACTCAATGCTTACATTGAGTGATTACCTCTCTTTTACAATAAAAGGATTTGGTAATTCATTTGATTTCAAGGTGTCATGTATAAACCACATTCTTCACAGTGCATTGCAATCAACAACTCGAACAGCCACAAGCAAAATAATTTAAATCAAAAAAGTAAAATGTAGAAGAAATCCACCAACCTTCAACATCACAGGGAACTGCCCGAAATTAAAGCTCTCCCTAATAACAGCTCCTTGATTATATTGGAAGCAAACATCAGCCTTTAGCTTCCCGGAATACGATATCTTTGCTTGACGACACTATTAAAAAGTAAAATAGATTGATCTGCTGATTACCTCAATTTCCGAAACACGAAAATTAAAATACGTTAGTAAACCACTTATACGAAAATAAGCTCACCTCATAAGGAAGCAAAGCCTTGGTCATTCCCTTGTTATCCTTAAGAGGAGGAAACAACTCTGGATGACCAATAGAAAGTAAACCAAAAGGTAAAGGAAAAAAATAATTCAAAAGCTGAAATTTAAAGCAAATAGCTAATGAAAATACACTGAAATTCAAATTTAAAAAAGGATATTTGTGAGCTTGTCTCCAGTAAAGGCATTACGAACAGTAACAGGCTTCAAACTGCCCATCATAGTTTCTAACCCATTCTCTATCAGATGATCAAAAGAGTCGATGTGATGCTGAAAAAGCTCCTTTAAAGCTTCGAAATCTGGTTGTTTCCGAGCATTGTGCCCACGGACAAAAGGTCCATTTTCATGGTTTTGTTTCGACATTAAAGGGTAATATAAACCAAACCCTGCAACACATTAAAGGGTAACCAAATTTGACTGAATTATCAGTAAAGGCTCGTAATTTTAGTGACATTTGATTCAATTATCAAAAAAGGTTCATAATTTGCTTTTCTAGCAACATAATCGGTTGTTATTATCTTTCATAATCTTAGTAATTAGAACCAATAGTTGAGATTTTCGAACCCTAAACTTAAATTAAAAGATAAACCCTAGATTGTGAAATTGATATGATGATTACAAAATGAAACAACAACTTACCTCAGAAGCTAGCGTGAAGTGCGCTTCAATGGAGAACTGGATGAGTAATTTTGAACGACAGGCTTGGGGTTTAGGGTTTAAGGAGAGAGAATATGTTTTAGTGTATGGAGTTATGGACTATGGATTATGGAATGTGGTGACTGCCTGCCTGGGGCTGAAGCGCTCAAGGGTCCATTAACCCAAGACTAAGGATCCGTATTCGTTATACCATGAAATAAGTTTCAACTTTCAAACCACTTTAGTTATGGAGTATTGGTAAGGTTTTTTTTTTTTTTTACTTTTTTCACTAATTACTTACTCCGTACTTTTAATTAAGGGTGTACATAAAATACCCCAGATCGGGAACCGGACCTGAACTGGTCCAGTTTGGACCGGATTAGAACCGAATCGGCAGATTCAGGTCCATTGCCGGTCCATCTAACCCAGTACATGCAATACAAGGGTATATTTGTTTTACCATATATATGGAGTACAAAGAACGCAAAGAAAAGAGATTGATTTGCCCATATCGTTTTCAATATCTCGTATATATCATATATATTTACCAAAAAAAAAAATTGCATATATAACTTGTCCAAAAAAAAAATAAAAAAAAAGTTGCGTATAATAGTATATAACGTTTTCCTCATTTTTTTTTTAACAAATAACGTTTTCCTCAAATACATATATGGTAAAACTAACAAAGTATTTACCAAAAATAACGAACTAAAATTTATATCAATAAGATATTATTAAATATATGTAAAAAAATTTTGAGAAAATTTAAATATATGTAAATAAATGTTGTATTTAGGAATGTTAATATTTTGTTCCTTAATGTGGATGATAACAAAGTTTTTATTATTATTTTTTTAGTAAAATGAAAGTTATAAATTGTTCATTATTAAAAAAAATAAAAATAAATAAATAAAAAATAAAAAAAATAAAACCCTTAAAAGTTGATGATAATTTCTATCATTAGCAATATTTATGAGAATTTATTAAACTTGTCATATCTATCAATATTTATGAGAAGATGAGTTGGATTGGGTGGGAGAAGATGCCCCGAGCAAAAAGTCAGGGAGGATTGGGGTTCAGAAATCTGAAATTTTTTAACATGGCTATGTTAGCAAAACAAGCGTGGAGAATTGTGACTACTAAGGAATCACTTATGTCTCGGGTCCTTAAGGGCAAGTACTTCCCAACTTCAACTTTTTTTGATGCTAAAGTTGTCCCGAACATGAGTTTCACGTGGAGATCGATCTTAAGTGCCAGGGAGGTGATTGAAAAGGGTGCCATAAGAACAATTGGTGGGGGGAGTAGTGTTCGCATTTGGGAAGACCCATGGGTGCCTAACCTTCCAAAATTCCGAATCATGACACCAAGGAGGGAAGGAAGTGATGGCCCGTTGTATGTTAAAGACTTGTGGGAAAGTCAGAGGTGGAATTTATCTACTCTCTCGGAGTTATTTTCACAGCGAGAAATCGATGCAATTTGTAGTATCCCAGTTCCTATGTTTGATGAGGAAGATTCTTGGTCATGGCACTACTCGAAAGATGGGTTGTATAGTGTCAAAAGTGCCTACAACATTTTGGTTGAAGAAAAAATACGGGAGAAGGCAACCTCGTTAGATGGTAATGTAGAGTTTAATTGGTAGAATATTTGGCATGCCTGCATTCCACCAAAGATCAAACTTTTTGCGTGGAGATGTATGTGTGAGGGAAGGACTGCCTGTGATGAGTCGTCTATTGGCTAGGGGTATGAGTGTTGATCAACGCTGCCCTATGTGTGGGGAGGGTGAAGAAACTACAGCTCATTTGCTTTTCTTATGCCTGGCTGTTTCCTCTATATGGAGGTACTCGATATTACGACTCGATACGAGTGATGTTGATGCTCATGGTTTTCGGGAATGGTGCAATTAGGTGTATGGGAAAATAAAGGAGAAGAAGTGGTGGGATATTTTTTGGTGCCTGGCGTGGAGAATATGGCTAAAATGTAACGCATGGGTGTTTGATAAATCTGAGAAGACAGAAGCAACCATCATCCATAAATCAATGTGTTTAGTGGGAGAGTTTGTAGCTGCCAATGCCCCTGATGATGGAATGTTGCATGAGCAGCAGCTTAGTTCGAGATGGAAGGCCCCCTCTGCTGGATTGTACAAATTAAATTCTGATGCAGCCTTCCAAGGGATGCGGATGGGAATTGGAGGGATCTTGAGGGACGAGGAGGGAGTTACGGTGGTGGTTTATTGTTCGACGAAAAATGGGAAGTTTGATGTGGCAGTAGGCGAACCAATTGCTATGCGTTCTAGCCTTAAGACAATCATGGAAGCGGGTTATAGGAATTTTATTCTGGAAACTGATAATATCAGCTTGTTCCATCATTTGAAGAAAGCCTCCACTCCCCCATGCTACTTTGGAAGTTTGGTGAAGGATATCCTAACACTTGCGAGTAGATGTAAGAGATGTGATTTTTCTTTTGTTAAAAGGTCGGGGAATTTTGTTGCACATAGTTTAGCAAAGTTGAGTTTCTCTTTTAGCGAATATCGTGTGTGGCTTGAAGAGTACCCTCACTACTACATTTGAGAGCTAATCCAACCCCTATTTCCGTTGTATTAGGTGTTAAAAACCGTTGTATTAGACCTAATACAACGGCTAGCAACCGTCACATTTGCTAGGGTTGGATTAGCTCTAATACAACGGTAAAAGGTTCCTTTCTTCTTTTTTTGGAATAACTGAACCTAATACAACGGATTGCTCCCCAATCCTTTATATTAGGTCTCTCTTCCGTTGTATTAGGTCTTTCTTTTTCTTCTTCTTCTTCTTATTATTATTATTATTATTATTATTATTATTATTATTATTATTATTATTATTATTATTATTATATTGTCCAAATCCTGTCCAGATTGTCCAAGTCCAGAAGTGTCAACTGATCAATGTCTTCTTAGTTTGCAACTTTGCATCTTAATTTTGGTATTGTATCTCTGGATGATTAGAATTTGAAAATCTGGAAAAACTAAGATATGAAAAATTGAAAAACGAAAAACGAAGAACGAAAAATTGAAAAATCTGAAAACAAATATCTAAAAAATTGAAATTCTGAAAAATTGAAAATCTGGAGAGAAAAAAAAAAAAAACCCAGAAATCGAACAAAAAAACGAACCCAGAAAAAACGAAATCGAACCCAGAAATCAAACAAAAAAACGATCTGAAAAAACAAGAACAAAAAAACGAAAAACGAAGACGAAAACAAGATCTGAAAAACAAAAAAAAAACGATCTGAAAAACGATTAAAAAACGAAAACAAGATTTGCAAACGATATGAAAAACCAAAAAAAAAAACAACGGATAATACCTTATAAACTCGAGTCAAAGAGGAGAGAGCCGAGAGAATGAGAGGCGAGAGAGTGATCGAGAGAGAGAGAATGAGAGAAGACTGAGGGAGGGTTCGAGAGAGAGAGAATGAGAGAAGACTGAGGGAGGGTTCGAGAGAGAGAGAATGAGAGAAGACTGAGGGAGGGTTCGAGAGAGAGAGAATGAGAGGCGAGAGAGTGTTCGAGAGAAAGAGAATGAGAGAATGAGGGAAGTTGAGAGACGTGGGTTATAAGGCTAATAGCCTAATACTTGTCCCGACTTTTCTTCTTTTTTTTTGATCCGTTGTATTAGACTAGGTCTAATACAACGGATTCTTATATCTAATACAATGGTTAGGATAAATCGTTGTATTAGACCTGTTTATACGACTTTTTTTTTATTTTATTTTTACTGATCTGTTGTATTAGACTAGTTTTAGTATAAACCGTTGTATTAGACCTGTTTTAGTATAAACCGTTGTATTAGCCTAGTCTAATACAACGGTATGAAATTAGCCGTTGTATTAGCTAATTTTGTACTGTTGTATTAGATTAAAAATATAGTAGGGCTCCTGATATTCAGGGGGTGTTATGTAACAATATTGAAAACTTGGTGAATTAATAATATGTCCTAAGCTATGCTTTTCGTCAAAAAAAAAAAATATTATTATTTTTTTAGTAAAATGAAAGTAATAAATTGTTCATTATTAAATAAAAAAAACCCTAAAAATTTGATGATAATTTCTATCATTAGCAATATTTATGAGAATTTATTAAACTTGTCATATCTATCAATAGATGTTCAAGTCCTGTCAAAAAAAATATGTTCATGCTAAGATTTAATTAATTATCACATTACATTAGCTGTATTTTATTTTCCTTTTACACATCAAATATGCTAGCATAAAATCCAATTGGTCAGGATCAAACAACTATTTTCCAAGTTTTTAGTAAAACTTCCTTTTTTTTTTTTCTTTTTTTATAGTTCGATTGGCTTTTGATTTTGCATGTGAAAAAGGTCAATAGTCTCATTACTACTATAGCCCACATACTCGTTTATTAATTATTTTTGTGTACTCCCTAGTCATCCCTATTGAAATAAAATATCTTTTTCTCGTCATTTCTAATTATATTTTACTATTGAATAGATAAGCATACAACATTTCTTCAAAAAAAAAAAAAAAGATAAACATACAACGTCAAAAGAAATAAAATGAAATTATTTTATTCATATTATAACGAAGGACCAAAGTTTTTATTAAAATAAACACTCATTTATTTCATCATAATAATCTCGACCACATTAGTTTTTACTGCTTATGACAAGTCCAAGTCATTTATTTTATCATCTAATTGGGGAGTATAATAGTCTCCAGAAAAAGCTTTACCCCTTGACTTCAACCCAAGCAATTTCTGATGATTAGTAGCAAGTGCCATGAAAAATTCCCCATTGTGATCTTTAGTTAAGTACCCCAAAACATGGATATAAAAAGCATCAGTGTAATCTTTCATTTGAGGAATCTCTTTAAGAGTTGCAGCAAGAAGATTGAACTTTTCTTGTACTGGATTATTTTATACCTTTGATGACTCAGCATGAATAGTTGACTTCACAACCTCTATACACTTATCAATGTCACTCATCCTCTTTTTATTAATTTTACTAGTTTCCCCCAAACTCTTACGCTTTCCTAGAGGAGGTGATATTCTAGAAGAATCATTCTCATGATCTACATTGTTATCCTCGGGGGTTAAGTTTAAATTTAAATAAAGGATCATCTTGCTCATCATCATTGTCTTCTGTGGGTTCTTGATCTTCATAATCAGAAAATAGTGATGCATTTTTTGTCATTGATGGGGAGATAGCCAATTTATTGGTTGCAAAAGTGCCCTTGAAATAAGCATGCAGCAGATCTTCATTAGCTAATGGTCTCTTCAAGAATTGTATGGGTCTTCCTTTATGTTTCTGTATAACAAAATAATTACAGTAACTAAATTTACTACCATACATCATTAACGTAATTTGAATAATAGATGACAAAAAACAAAGTTTAATACCTTAACAAATGCAGCCCACTTATCATCTTGTTTGATGAGAGGGCAGGCAGTCACTGCATCAAAAGCAAGACCCGTCCAACCAGCACCCGTCTTCAATTCATACCAAGCTATATATTTTCCTTTCAAATCTGCAAAATGATTTTGCAGAGGTTTCTGAGAAAAATTTTGTCCAGTTTGCGCATTCAAATTACACACAACTTTTTCCCAATCTAACTTTGAGTTTCCATCTAATTTGTGTTGGAGAAGAATCTCCAAAAAAATTCTAGTAGTGTCATTGGTGAATTTGGTTCTCGAACCCATGAAGATTAGAAAGCTACAAGCTCGACTTGGATGAATTAGAGCTATGAAAAAAAGGTTTTTATAGGCACTATAGAGTACTATAAAGATACTTTGACATATAATTTATGATCTTTATTTTTCCAAAAAAAAAATGTATAATATTGTGAAAGCTTACACACAATATGCTAACCATATATATGTACTCAATTTAGGAATTACTTTCAAAATAATATAAATATCTTAAACAATCCTTTTTAAACAAAAATTTATATTTTTTTTTAATAATTAATTAAATTTGTTTTTTTATTTTTTTTTTGATGCAAATAATTAACTACATTTGTTGAACATAGAATTAAACATTCTACATTTTATTAAATAGAAGTCAAACACACTGACACTATTATGATATATATATATATATGAGACTATTAAAATATATAGTTGATCGTTAAAATAGTTTCGAAAGCAGCGAGTTGGAGTTAATGATCTCAAACCCAAAGACTTTAGCACAATTTGTGACATGCATGAAAAAAATCTTGTTAATTAAATTTTTTGGTTTGAATTGTCAGTTAATTTTTTGCTACGTATATGTTGGTTAACTGCATGAAATTTACAAATAATTATAGCAAATATTGGTGATTGATTGATCATATCAAGGCATGTGATATTTAAGCAAAAAAAATATAACGACATATTGGTAGTATTGTATAAATCATGTATATATAATCATATATGAATATCATATTTCAATATCTTATTGAATTTATTGTAAATGATTATGCTATTACGATGAATTTTGTTACCCTTTTATAAAATATAGTACTTGTATTTACCAAATATAACCGACTACAATATTATCAATAAGACATAATATTTTATACTTGACAAAAAAAAAGATATTATATTTTATAACTATACAATATGTGATAAAAGTGTAGACAAAAGTGATGCATAAAAAAATATATGTGAAGTATTAAATAATTTACATAAAAAAACTAGTAAAAAAAAGCATCAAAGTACATGAACTTAAATTAATTTTGCTGAAATTATTTTTGCTGAGCTTAAAATATTTTTATTGAACTGAAATTATTTTTGCTGAACTGAAATTATTTTTACTGAACTGAAATTGTTTTTACTGAACTTAAATTATTTTTACTAAACTTAAATTATTTTTACTGATTAAAACCGATTTTACTAAACTGAAATTTTTACTTAATATTATTTTTTTAAGGTGAAGTGAACAGGCCTTAGTCTCCTTTAGCACTTCTTTCAAACAAAAAAAGGTAGGGATGCGCATTATTCTAAACTTTATTGTACCATCTTTTTTCTTTCTAAAATACAAGTAAATTGTATGTTTTTTTTAAGAATAAGTCTGCTTAAATGTAGCACTAATATACTAAATTGTCATGATATATAGAGGCTTCACAAAAATAAAATGCTCTAACATTTGCTATAACTCTATCTAAACACTACAAGGCAAACTTATTATAAATCAATATATATATATATATATATATATATATATATATATATATATATATATATATATATATATATATATATATATATATATATATATACCATGTTCAAGATCAATGTCCAAATACCATGCTCAAGTTCAATGTTTAAAAGGTAAGAAGGCCATGCAAACACTACACCATATAAAGCAGTTAACATCGCTTTTTTCCCTTAATACACAACTCTTATGAAGCGCTATTAATTATAGGCGCTGCTAATTAAATTATAGCGCTTCTATAAAGCACTATTGATGTTCATTTTTTTAACAGCATTTATTTATAAACGCTATTAAATCTCTATTTTAGTCTAGAAAATTATAGCATAATTTTTAATATTAAATAAGAATCTGTATCATGCATATTGCTCATATATGAATTC